CCTTTTTTCGGAACATCATAATGACTCATTACCTTTAATGAGAACTACCCGTGACATCAAATGGCAAGTTTTACCTAACAATACACCGTGTCCATCTCTCTCCACACTGAAACAACTTCCAATCTTACAAATCTGCCGGCACAGAGGTGTAGAAAGCTGCCCCAAACACGACTGCTTCTTGCGAGTATATCAGCACCGGAACTCTCGAAGAATCGATACCAGTCTTGATCAACTTTCACAGTGTCTGCCAAGTCCTTCATTACTCCAGTAGTGACAGCTCTTATGCCGCATGAAAACTCTCCAGCTTTATTTGCAGAATGTGTCCCTAAGTGAAATGTATGTTATAGACAAAGGCCAGTGACAATTATCTCATAATGTTAATATTTACTTTATCTAAACATACTTTTGAACTCAACACATTACAATTAATTTGTTGGTTTTTAAGTCATATGGCGACACCCTGGCTCTTTTGGTACATGATGATGTACGTCTCACGCAATGATTCGGGCAAGGGGTTGTATCGGAGTAGAACCATTAAACTTCCATCTGCTAACTAACTAGACAACCTATATTTGACAATTCCTATCATCTGAAAAATATTCTCTATTGAAATTATTATTTATTGAATAAATCTTTCAAATATATTTATACTAAATGAAATGCTCAGTAAAATAAAATACTTTATAACTCCCTGGATGCATGTCTGTCTCAAGAATAACAATGCCATTAACATAAAACACAATTTACCAATGCTTCATCATGCAATTTCCCAATACAAACTTTTCAACAATGTTACACAACCATCCACATTCCGACAATATCCACAATCACAACGTTGGACATCAATCTAGCATTCATTGTTCAAGAGTTTACTGAAAAGTCACTAGAGTTAACATAACAACATTCAAATCACAAAATGTGAACATTTACCATGTTAACTATAAACATATCTTTTTAAACTTTAACTAGGAACAAATTATATTTATTTCATTTTAAGCCATATACTGAACACATCTCTTGGAGCACACGCTGGACACACCTCTTAGAGCACACAATGAACACATCTCATTGTGTTGAATATATTTTGATACCTTTACGACACACTACTGCACATTCAGCGCTTCTTTCTTTAGCTGTTAAACATCTAGCATACTCTTAAATTCATTATTAAAACATTATGTAACACATGTTTGACATTTCTTAAGAGCTGAATAAATATGAATTTCTGAGGCAAAATGTGCCTTTAAGCAATTTGCAATACTGTGGATTGGTCGTTGAAAATTTTTGTATAGATAAAGAGAAATAAATATTGCAACCTTAGTTTATATTCTATAATTATTTATAATAATATAATAATATAATAATTTTTTTTTTTTTTTTAAAATATATACTTATTTTTCACTTACATGAACTATCTTTTGCTGCTTTTGCTCTGTCAGCAAATGGTATAATTATAGTGAATAAGTATTTTGTATGGAATTCAAATACCATTTTGCTATCTTTATGACACAATACTGCACGCTAATTTCTTCAGCTGTTTAAAAATGCATCATGATCTAAATTCACTATTGAAACTTTTTTAACCAATGTTTGACATTTCTGAAGAATAAAAATATAGATTTCTAAAGGCAGAATTTGCCTTTAAATTCATGCTCTCTCTCTAAAACGCAAAAAATCATAACTTTAATCTTTGATCTAAAATATAAAGTAACAATTTGGCAAGATTTACATTTTATATAAATAACACTGGCAATTTCAATGTGACATTTTTATTTGAATCACACACTTTGATGTCACTTCAAAATCATACGTGATCTTAGTGCATAAAGTTCATGTCATATTGTACGGTCTTATTTATGTATCCAAACTGGAGCAGAGCTATATTTTATGGGTTGCTTTGCAAGTCAGTATGAATGAAAAGCGTAAAAGTACAAAAACCGCAATCAGAACTGCATTCTAAAAGGTGATAAAATAGAGTTTTAAGGAATTCACTTTGATAATCATCAAATGAACTTTATCCCATAGCCCGTTGCACTACTCATATGTTTCATCGAAATTAAAAGAAAATTTATAGGAAGGACAGTTTTTCCCTAGGGGTATCCGGTGATGCGTGTAAATGGTCGCTCGATTACTTACCTTGGCATGTCCTGGACGCGTGTGGTCAGAAAATATGGCACTATGACACTATGAAACATTACCCCAAAAAAGAGTCGCTATACATAAGATGTCAAGGGGACCAAAAGTAAGTAATTAACCAATTATAAAAGATGAGTTACGGCTTCAATAGTCATCTCTCTTGATTTATACAAATTAAGTCAACATGCAAACTGCTTAAATGGATAAGAAAAACTGAAGAAGGACCTAAATTTTAAATTCTGCCATTTAGAATAATGATTATAAATTGATTCAAGTTTTGCAAGAGCAAGGACCGTATAATGTTCTTGGGCATCTAAACTAATATACTTACAATTGCAAAAAAATATTATCTTGTACTCTACAACTTAAAGGTGTGTCAGTTTAGTTTTATAATATCAAATTAACTTCTGTTTTAAAACTGTTCATGACCAATAGTATGTTGGATTTTATAATGGCTTAATTAAAATAAACATTCTTCAAAAAATATCAACAATTACATTATAATCTCGACACAGTTGGGTATGGATATTCCTATGCAATGATCGGAAACGTGGCGGAAATTACTGATCGCATAACAATATTTTAACATATTCATTATAATGTACGTATTAAATCTATGGAAAAAAATAAGACAAACTTCTGTAGTATTGGCAGTTGGAAAGTTCAAATTGTGTGAAAATATACGTATTATCATTTTAACGTGTTTTTTTATATATAATATTGCACTGTTCTAGTCCATACAAACAGCCGTCATGATTATTATATACTGCAATATTATGCAATATTATGCGACGGCTTTCTAAATTTGTCATGGGACAAAACTAGTGACGTTATCGTCTTACAGGATGATTGAGTTGCCTCCCTTAGAAAGTATAAAGTACTTATTACCATGAATAACTTAAATGGGTATGTCCATTTTTCAATCTGGACAAATTAATTAATCAGTTTTAAGGAAAATTTCATAGAATGTACTAACTAAATAGTGAACAGTGCAGACCATTATGAGATGGCAAGGATGTGCTCTGCACTGATCGCATTGGTAACATAAATTACCACTAGTAGGTAAAATTAACAAATCTGCATCAGTCAATCAATTTCATAAAAGAAAACATAGTTGAACTAGTCATTATTCCTGTCTTCCTTTCTTTACTTCCTTCATTCCATCTTTCTTTTACACTGAATTTTTCTTTCTGTCTTTAAATAAAGAAACGTGTTGGACTATAACCTAATGATCGGTAGCTGCATGGGTTCTCAAACCCTGCCAGGAGCAAATCGTTGTTTCCTTGAGCAAGAAACTTTATACTCATCGCTCAGTACTGGTTGGTTCCAGGAACAGATTCTAAACTGTTTCTTTCACAATCCTGCACAATCAAAGTAAAATAAAGTCTGTATAATCCAAATAAAGAAACAAATCAACTCCTGTAATAATATTATTCATATTTTATTATTTTTCTTTTCTTCCTTTTTTTTTAAATATTTTACTAAATTTTTCATAGTTGATCTATACAAAACAATTGTTCATATGTTTCAAATTAAATACAATATAATACAATTCAAATCTACATACAAAAAACATATGAAATAGTTCTGTGCAGAAAGTCCCTTTTAATACAATATGAATTCATCATTTTTAAAACAACTTTTGACTATCAAAACACCATCTTACAAAGATTACCACTTACAATGTCCATTAGTCACAATTGTTCAACATTTTAAAATTGTTTCCACATACCAACAACACAACAATTTTTAAAACTGTTGAGTTATATAAATTTTAGCAAAACTGTTATGAAAAATCAATGTCAAAACATTGGTGTTCAAATCATGCACCATTTAAATAAATCACAGAGTTTTGAAACTGTTGTGTTAAATAAATCTTAGAAAATTTTTAAATTGCTATGAAAAGTTTATGTAAAATCATGGGTGTCAAAATCATCTTGAAAATTCATCACTTGTTGACAGTTCTAACAAAAAATAATGTTAACACAAAGTTCCAATTTGCACATGTAAACAACGAATGTACTTGAAAACTGATGTCATTTTAGAAAATTCATTGTTTCTAGGAATAAAGTAAATTTTTAATAATTACTTATCAAAACCTAACAAATTCATTCTTTACTCACTCAAAAAAAAAAGAAAAAGTTATTATTAAAACAACATTGTAACAATTTATTTCATTTTGTCTGATAATCAAAAGCTGTTTTAACAAAGCAGATAATAGTTGAACTTTGATTTCTACATTCTTAACAAAGGTTTTTTTTTCCATACAAATCTTTGGCATATCAACATAAAATAGTATAAAACATTTTTTTTTTCAAAACAAAAAACAACCTTTCAATCTTGATATTAGAAAAATTCAATATTAAAGAAAGAGTATAAAAAAGACAATATTTTCTTACTGCTATTGGTGATTTCAAAGCATTAACAGTAACAAAAGCTCATTAAATAAAAGAGTTGGAACTTACCTTATAAAAGAATTAAAACAATTTTGGACGAAAAACATACTACTTTAAAGAAACTGACAAAAGAATTAAAACAATTTTGGACGAAAAATGTTCTAGTTTAAATAAACTGACGAAGCACAACCAAATTGATAAAGAAACATTTTGTTTGTTTGTTTCTTGATTTTTTAAAAACAAGAACAAAACAAACCTGTAAAACATATATACTTTTATCAACATTTTTTCAGAGAAACAAAAAAAAGGAAGTTTGAGAAATTTTCAATAAAAAAAATCAAACACAACCCAAGTTGATTAAAACATAAAATATTTGTGAGAATTCTACCCGTATCTCAATTGTGCATTTTAAACATAAATAACTTATAATCAACTCCACATAACTGAAAATCTTCCTTTGTAAACAAAAAAAAACAAAAAAAAAACATTAAAGTAAACTTGCTGAAGTTGTCACAGCCTGGGCATCTAAATAAGAATCTTGTCACATGTGAAAAAATACTGAGTGAATTTGTTCAGATAATAAATTGAAAACACATACTATCCTGTTATATATGTAGTACACATGTCTTCCAGATACACACATTGTACACGTGTTAAAACACATAGTACATGTGTTATAAACACATAGTACATATGTTATCCAGATACACACATAGTACACAAGTTGTAAACACATAGTACACATGTTAATCAGATACACACAAAGTACATGTCTTGATAGATAAAAATGTGAAACTACATGTCTTACACTTGTGTAGTACAAATGTTTTAATGCCTTAATGCATAAATTTACATGTGTTTTGTTTACACAAATAATCTACATGCACATGTGTTCAACTGATATGCTCCAAGCATTTGTTTGATAAAATTTAATTACTTAAATAAGAAAATCTTAATACAGCATTTCAAGCATTAGAAGAATGGTAGATAAAATATACAACAGTATTTATAAATAAGTCTCAAATACTATTTGCAAGGTTAACATACATCATTGTTTATTTAATCACAGCCTCAAAAAGCACTTACAGCTGTTAAAAATAGGTTAAAATAGGCTTATAAAATCTTCGTATAAAAACTGCCTGATTTTTCAGTATAAAAACACTTCGAAACAAAGGTGGGTTAATATTTTGATGAGATCTCTCTCTACATGCAAGCTTAGCTGTTAACAGCAAAAAATATGTGATCAGACTTTCTGATAACAGCTAGTCTTCAATCAGATTTAAAGTTAACAGCAAGTCTTAGATCCTATTTAATGATAACAGCAAGTCTAAGATCATATTTACTGTTAACAGCAAGTCATAGATCATATTAACAGTTAACAGCAAGTCATAAATCAGATTACTGTTTCGCAGAATATAAACAAAAATATTTTGAAATCAAACCTTTTAACTTTCACATTTAATCTTTGTTCAAGTGAAAGTATTAAAGATATCCAATGTAAAAGAACCCAAAGTTTTATTTGATTTTAAGTAGATATTTTGTTATATAAGTGCAGTAACAGGTTAACTCTTATCAAAGTATATAAGAAGTTAACCCGTTACTGCACTAAAGTGGCTATTTTAGAAATGACCTTCAAAATTCAAATACAAAAGTAGAAAAGTTTATAAAATCAAATTCAGAATGCCCATCTTTAAGTTTATCTAAAATATACACATATAATGTGAAATCGTATGTACTTACAAGCTAAATACTGTTTTTACCATGAATAAATTAAAATTTACTCATCAATCGATCAAGTATAATATCATTTTAATTTCAACCATTTCATACAAAAATGTCACAAAACTACTTCTTAGAGAGTCTACAAGGAGAACTAAAATCATGTCAATACAAACAACAAACACAGATATAACCTGGATTTCAAAATTATAAAAAAAAAATGCCATTAAAAATGCATTAATCACTATACAGCACCTGAAGTCTTCAATTACCTCCCTTGTAATATGATAAAATATGCCCCTATTTACCTCCCTTTACATAAATACATTTTTTTTTAAAAAAAAACTATGTTGCTTATTAATTCCATTTTCAATTATAAATTCAAAATTCTTCAATTCTTCAAAATTAGTTCCATTCTTTATTAAGTTGAAAAGTGGTGGATTTTTTTTTTAACTGGAATGAATATACTCTTACTCATGTTAATATTCCCTGTAATTTCTAAAAATATTTTCATGGAAAAATAAATCAAACCAAATGTAATAAGAATATATCTGTACCTTAATTTAGCTAAGAAAAAAATTCATTAAAAAAATACTGTTAAAACTTGTATCAAAACATTTCTGTTAAAATTAAAATAGAAATACATCACTTTTAATACACAAAATTTTGAAAATCTGTACTTTCATGTTATTTAGATATCATTAAATTTTCTTTATCATCAAAAAAGTCTGATAGTTCAAAATTTCTATTCTTTTGTCCTCATAAAAAAATCATTCACTTATACAGAGTTGTTTATTGAAGGGAGATAATACAAAAAAACAAAGATTGCAAGCAATGGTGCTATTCCTTCACTGGCAGTAACTAGTGAAAAATAATAATAATACGGAATGGGAACACTTGATCGTCATGCCAACCTGAGAATGAAACCAGTCAACTTTAACTGAGGTAATTTGGTAAATGAACAAAAACTGAACCAGTCCACAAATCTTAAGATAGGAGACCAGTCTAGATTTTGAACCAAAATGATTGGTCAGTTACGAAATAAAACTTAAACTCAACCAATCAGATTTCAACACAATAGACTGGTTTACAATCATTAATATTTTAACTTTAGATACTGGTTCTGGTCACTATAGTTAAAATATAAAAATACTGATTCCAATTTCTTCTTCATCATTTCTTTAACGCCAAAAACTTAAAAAAATTACTTGAAGGAAAATATTTCAAAGTCATTCAAATGCTAAAAACTTTCATTAAATGTTAGTTTAATTTTGTATAAATAACAATCTTAATTAAATTATGCACTGCTATGTAAATTAGTTCTTGCCAGTATAACTTAAGATCAACATAACACATGATATCATTACTTTAAAGCTTATTTAATAATTTACAGTAAAAATTTCTGAATAAATAACTTGGACAAACATAAAACATTATCCATATGCTATGAATTCGACGAGTCGGTTTTCGGTGAGTTTATATTTGGTGATTTGGATAACTTTTGGCCCGCTGAGGTTTCTTTATGCCGCGCAGCAGTATGGTGAGGTTGTTGTTGTTGTTGTTGCCGTGACGGTCTCTGTGGAACGTGAGTCGGCATGTACGGTAACGTGTACGCACGTCCTTGCCAGGCGGCTGGGTTTGCACCACCAATATGATGATGAACGCAGCCGACCATACCGTTTAGTCTTTGGTTATGAGGAACAGGATAATTGTTTGTGGGAACAACATCGGAGGTGTGTTGTCTGTGGTCACGAGAATGTTTATGGGTTGGGGGCGGGGCATAATGTAAGTGACAATCACAGGGAGTATTGACTGGATGATGATAATAGTAAGGTCCCCCATTACCAAGGTATGCTCCTTCTTCTACACCATACTCTGTAATATACAACACAAAATATATAATACTGAGTTAAAGATACTAAATCATTTTCATATAATCTTGCATTAAAGTCATTTAAATATCATTAACATAAATAAAATAAATAGCAGCGAGGTAAAATAAATAATTTCATTTTCTACTCATTGTTAGTATATTTCATAAAACTTAATTAATATAATTATAATTCAGTTTCAAGAGTCATTTTTTTCACAGTGAGTAGTACAAAAGTAACCAACCACATTGAACCAACTAGGTTTTAATTTAAAGTCACTTCAATCTTATTTAGGTTACACATATATATATGCAGGGTAAGTTGACCTTTAACCTGGGGAAATGTCTTTAATGAACTTGCTCAGCTCCGACTTTTAGAACTGTCCACAGTCAATTTTTTGGGATATCAGGATGGCAATTTAGAGATACTCGGCCAACAGTTAGTATAAAGCAAGACCAGACAGCACAGGAGTGTAGGCTGGCCTAGCTCTACACTGGCGGTAAAAGTTTTAACGATTCGGTCCCAGCAGATTAAGGGAATGTGTAAAACAAGTACATACCTGGTCTAATGTAGACACCAGAGCAAGGCACTAGTGGAGGTGGTGGAGGAGGGGGAATGTCTTCTTCATACATATAACCTGTCAAAACATAACATCATATCTTAATATAAATTCTTCCAATGCTAACACCAATGAAAGACTTGCCCAAGCCAATATTATAGTAAGGCCTCCCTCCATTTCTGTGAAGTCGGACCAGACTAAATACCATTTGGCTAGGAAAATTGTTTATTTGACATAAAATGACATCATAAAACCTATTAAAAATAAAAATGTACAGGTTCTCAAAACAGCTCAAAATTACTTGGGCGTTTACTGGTGACAGGAATTGAAGTGTTCCTACTTAATTATTTTAGGTGTAAGAAAACACCTACCAATCACCATAATAAAGCTCATGTGTCATGGGTATGTATTAAGAAACATTATAGATTTTTTAGAAATTTACACGAAAAAGGAAGTTAAAAATTACAACTTTTAATTCCTTTACAAGTTCTCAGTAATATAATAACATAAAGTATCTACACAATGAAATTGTTATTCAAGATCAAGTACAATTCACATTTGATGCATTTTAAAATAATCAACGCTGAACTCAGAATAATTTAGAAAATTTTACCTTGAATATCACTGCTGCTACGGGAGATCCCAGGCGGCTGAGCACGATCAAAGTGCGAGTGTTCTTTGTGTCTTGTGTGGCGCCATCTGGATGGCTTAGGAGGTACAACAGGATTATTATGCTTACACTCATGCGTGTCCGTATGCGAGTTTTCCTCGCCACACTTTCTACACTTTAGTTTAACATTTTGAGGCATAATCTCTTTGTTTAAAGGGAGGCAACCTAATGTTTCATCTGTTTGTGATGACACAGAGTTGTCTTTATTTGTATTTTCACACTGCACTGTTTCAGTGTCTGGGTATATATTATTATCACAAGGTATTTGGTTAGCAGAACACGATCGGGATCGACCTGTCCTAAAATGTTCCTGACTGGCTGCTTGAGGGCGGAACGTCGTCCCGAAACGTTCCCTGCTCGTTTCTTCCGGATGGTACGTCATCCCTAAATGTTCGTGACTGGCCGCGATGGGACGGAACGTACTTCCTAAACGTTCCTGACTAACTGCATGGGGTTGGAATGTGGTTAGAATCTGTTGCTGACTCGACTGGGAACTATTCACACTATGCCCATCACTCTTCAGTGAATCTGATTCACTCTGCGGATATTCCTGACTGGACAAACTGTTTTCTAAAAATAACAAAAACAAAGGAAATATTTAAAAACTTTGCATTATTTATGGTGCAAACATTTTAAAATATAGTCAAGTAAACTGTCCAATAGTAATAGTATAACAGAAAAAATTTTCAGGTTGTATCAATGTACATATTTCTAAACCACTTCTCTTATTCTTATTCACTTCAAATAGAAACATTTATGAAATGATGTGATTAACCATCAGTGACTTGACAATTCTAAATAATGTAAAAATTAAATTTAATGCAAGTAAGCCGACACTTATATAAGCCGTTTTTACTAAATTTACTTATTTCAAAAGACCGTGTAAAACTACATTAAATCTAATATTGAAGCACAAACCATCAGACTGTTCCAGGTAGCGACCATCACCTGCCAACATATTATAACTATGACGTAACTCATCCTGATCAACGTCACTCGGAAATATGGCTGCAGAACGAGCCGCTCTAAATCTGCCGGACGAAGATTCATAACCGGACTCCTTCATCTGCATTTCATGGTACTGGTAGGCTGGTATATTTGTTACCGGAATTCCATGGGTATAACTGCCCTCTTTATCGGAGGACATGTATCCAGAGCTGGGAACTTCACCAGGGAGGGTAGTTTCATCGGTCGGAGTTGCGCTATAGAGTTCCTGACGTTTCCTAGTCTGATATATAATAATGACCCACACGAGGGAGGTTCCGACAACGCAACAGACAACCGCTATAATTATAATACCAGTGGTTGTTGACTCGTCATCGAGGCCGCCACTGGAACTCTGATTCCGGTCTTCTGGATCACTTTTTGTCGCACCTGTAACAACAGTTAATGTTGATGTACCACGTATTGTACCGAGTGTGTTGGACATTTCACACGTATATTCACCAGCATCGCTCGTTTTTGTCTCAACAATTACCAACAGTCTGTCTTCAGCTGTGAAGAAATGTCTTTGGCTAAGAACAAGGGGTTCCCCATCATGGTACCAGGTCAATTTGGGTTGTGGACTTCCCTGAGCCAAACATTCCATTACTGTTGTTGTACCAACACGAGTCTCTTTTGGCTCCATTGGTCGGACAAAAGATGGGGTTTCTGTAAAAATAACATAGATCATAGATGATTTATAGCCTGCAACATACTCTGACAAATTTTAACAAAATTGTTTATCAATGGCAACAACAGGGACCGTACAAACTATTTCTTATGTTTCTAATAAATCATCCCTACAATTCATCTTTAAATAACATATTCAAATAAGATCTCAAAAATTTTTTTTTGCATGTTTTATCATAATTTATATAAAGAAAAACATGGATACTTACGAAGAACTGTCAAAGTGACATTGGCAACAATAGTTCCTGCATCATTTTTAGCAATACAACTGTAGATTCCTTCATCTGCAGCTTTTACGTCCACTATATAGAAATGATCGTCCTCTGGAATCACATGCATACGGCGCTCCTGGGCTGCTGGGAAATGATCAAATCCACCATCTTTCTGCCAGGTGATGGTAGGCTTCGGTTGGCCTTCAGCTGCGCAGACCAGGGTAGCCTCAGTGCGAGCCTTTGCCGTCACATTTTGTGGCCGTTTAGTAAATTTTGGGAACACTGTAAGCCATAACAAAAACATAATTAAATTTTTACTAAAATTTCTTCTTTTTCCATAAATCAATTTGTTTACTTATTACAAGAACAACTGCTTGAAGATCAAAGATGTATAATCACAAACATTAAAACAGTCTATGAAATCTTAAAAATGCAAATTTATCCAAGTTTCAAAGCACTTATTCAAAAGTATAAAACTTGCTCTACAACCATGATGATATCAATATTGTCTTTCTTCATGTGAAAAAATTTCCATCTAACATTCCATTATCATCCCAGAAAATAAACAAATAAATGGTAAGAATAATAATATCAAGGATTACGTACCATATACGTTAATATTTGCTCTCTTGGAGTACGCGGAACCGTAGTCATTGGAGATGACACAGTGATATTTGCCGGCATCAACATCCTGAGCATTACTGATGTGTAGTTTGGATGTGTAATGTGTAAGATTTCCTGTACGCACAGCATAATCCTCGTTTGTACATCATTAACACCTATAATAATAAAGCATGAATTACAAACAACTTATTTTGACATCTGTCATTAAATTCTATTGAAATAAAAGTATTTGTTTTTTGCTTGAATTAATGCAGATAAGCTTCAACACATTTTATTTCTAATCAAGCCCTCCCGCATCCACACACAAAAAAGTTTCAAATTCATTATTGCATACCTACAAGCTAATCCGTTTTTAACCATAATTTTTAAATACATAAATAATGTCATATAAATACACATTACAACCCTTTTAATAACCAGATATAAAATCAAAGTTGTCTTGTTTGCCTCCTTTACTTTTTGCTATGGTTCTTACAATGAAAGGGAAGTAAATGCTTGGTATCATTTGAAATTAATTCAAGAGTTGTTTCCCTTTATATACAATCCTAAATTACTTACAAAATCATCTTTTCGCCACTGGAAATGGGTGGGGGAACCCTGTGCCTCAGTGCTGGCAGCTGAACAGTTCAAAGTGATATTTTCTCCCTTCAAAACCACTTGAGTTTTTGGGTTCAAGAATATCTCAGGCTTTAAAAACTGACCGTCTGAAAAAACCAAAACAAATCACATAATATAAAATTAATTCCTACACTAATTACAAAACACTCCATTTGAGAACCATACCCATTACATGGTTTATTAATCAATTTTTAATATCATTATGTGATTATTATATGATTATTATAAACACTTCGGTATTACAACTTAATTTTCTAAAAGAATTGTGGTATCGAAGCACTGCCTAAAGGGAAGTAACTCATTAATTATAATCACATTTTTATCGTGCAATCATAATTTATAAATTGCTTATAATTAGAGAGATTTAAAAGAATATCGGAAACAGGCTGCATTTCTGCACAATTCATTATGTACATTGATATAATATTAAGTTGAAGAGACACACACCAGGTTTTTAGAATATTTTTGGTATTCCCAGCTAATCCACATGGAAACAAACTTTTTACAATTACAAAAGTCAAAAGTAAGTGCAACAGGTTGACTAATAGATAGTGCACATAAAACTTTTTAGCTATTTTCAGGCACAAACGTTCACCCAAGTAGAACCACTGACGTTCCATAAGCTAGCTTGATAGTTTTCTCATATGTAGAATCCCATACCTGTGCAGCTCGAACCTACAGCATTGAGAGGCAAGTGGTTTAAAGTCAACGACCTTAACCACTCCGCCACAGACACCCCTAACAATATTTTCTCATAACAAATCAGTACTGGTAAGTTGTCATGGCAAACCTTTGCCATTATTACCTATCATATATTAAATTGTGGACAGAATGCTTAATCATACTAAAGAATTTAATTTCTGTAAGGTACATACCACATTTATATTCACTGGAGTCGACAACAAAGATACTTTTCCCCTTCACATTACTGGGATGCGCACACTTGGCGATGACAGAGTGCTCAAAGTTGTTGTCTCGTAACCAAATCGGTACCCAGGACAACTGGCAGTCACAAAACAAGCTGCTTGTATTGAAAGATCTGTAAAGGATACAAAACAAATTATAGTATTTTCTGAGAACAAATTTTAACATATGAGCTGCGTCATGACAAAACCAACATAATGGGTTTGCGACCAGCATGGATCCAGACCAGCCTGCGCAATTGCGCAGTCTGATCAGGATCCATGCTGTTCGCTATCAGTTTCTCTACTTGTTATAGGGTTTGTAAGCGACCAGCATGGATCCTGATCAGACTGCGCGGATGTTGGTTTTGTCATGGCGTGGCTCATATTTTTTTTAAAGTAATGCCACAGTTGCAAAACCAAATAAGTACAGGTGACACATGTTATTATTTATATCCTTAAATCACTGTCCCAAATTCAAAATTGGACAAGTCCATTGCACAAAGATTAATTGGGGAGGCGAATGAGAAAAATAGATGATCAATCAATAAATACAACAGCGAACGATTAATTAAAGTTTGCACGTTTCTTTTGTTTTTCTTTTTTGTTTGTTTGTTGGGTTTTCTTTTTGTTTTTGTTTCTATAATACAGCAAAATCAATTTTAAATAATGAAAACATATCTTACAGCTGTCTCAGTTGAATGAGGGGTTCAAATGAGTTCCCTTGGATTGACGTGATGTTATTACTATCGAGAAGCAGGATTTCCAAACTCTCGAGTCCTGTGAATGCCTGCTTTGTAATAGTTTTAATTTTGTTGTTGATCAAACTTAGTTTCTTCAATGAAACCAGCCCTGTGAAGGCACCATTTACATCTTCAATTGTAGACGAGATGCGATTATTGTTCAAATCCCTGAAAATAAAAAATAAATAATTGTTTCAAACTTCATATGTGTATCGTAGGAAAAGTTTATTAACACCTGTAAGGATTTTTATTGAAGAAAATGACTGGTCTCAAAGAAAACAAAAGCACTTTTCAAGTTTGAAATCAACCATATTTAGGTTTTCTGAGAAATACTGAAAACTGAAAATACATAACGAAAATCCAGTCAGAACTGCTTCAAAAATAATCATGAAAAAAAACATACACTTTTGAAAGTTAAAGGAAATGGAACTTTCTTTTCATGTTTTTTTACCATAATAATTATAATTGAAACATAAAAATTCTAAAATTATTTATTTCTGTTATATGAAGCAGAAAAAGTCACTGTTTATATTAACCCTTACAATGCTTAAGCTTAACCCTTGACCTAGTGAACTTCCTAAATTCCAGTTGGTCAAGTTTTAATTGCACTACCTTTGCCACAAACCAGACCAAGGCCTTCGGGTTTCCACATTCTGACAATCTTCCAAATTTTCAAAACGAAAAGATATAAATATGAAATCCCCCACTTTTTAAATCGCATATGTTAAGGACTCAAGTATAAGTCGCACCTTGAAAATAAAATACTTTATAGCCATGTGCTCTTAATTGAAGCTTTATTTGTTCAAATTACATACACGTCTTAAGATACCTTCTGAACAGATAAAAGTTTCATTTAACACTGTAAACAAGTCAATTGGTTTACTTAGGCAGAGTAGGCATTGAAAACGTTCCGAAAATAGCACGTTTTAGCGCCTTTAACGAGCATATGAAAAGAAACAAAGCAATTCAAACAAAACTTCGGGTTTCCATATTTGCTAAATGAAAGGTATCAAAAAACCATCAAGTGTTTCAAACGTAATTGCTCGCAGTGTGCGTGTGTTAGAGCGATTTATACCAATTTTCTTAATAAACCAGACAGCTTCTTTTAATTGGCACTTGAAATTCGGGAGAAACTTTTCGCAAAACTGCTCTTTCTTTGAAGAAGTAATTTCTAAATTTAAATTAACATAATTATACAAATATTTCTAATGATTAGCACTTTTAATGATTTCAAATGGAGAAAGTGTGCAATGGTGTTTTTTTACAGTGCCTTTTTTTCCTCGTCCCTGTTGGCAAATATACAAGATGTTTTGTTTATTTCAAATCAGCTACTAACGTATACAATATTCAGACTGTTGAGTCTGGTTTCGTGAAGAAATCTTTAAGAGCCTGGTGTTTAAGTTGATTTCATTGAATTTGAAAGAAGTTGAGCACATAATGTGGAGCTGATCACTGTATGTTGGGACTGATATCACAACAACTTCCAAGCTTTTCTAGTGGAGGAAAATTACAGTTGCTCCTTTATGTATTATTTGAGACAAGAGAGGGCACCTAGGTGAGGTAGAACTAGATAGAGCTTCATTAAGCATATTGGATAACTTTCTCATATCAAACCACTGAAGATATTAATCCTAATATATTTGGTTCATCATAAAACCGTTGTAAGCCCTTCTTTATTTCATATAAGTTACTACAGTTTTGCGTCAACTCTCAATATCTTTTTTGTTAATATTTTGTCATTGTAATCATAGTGTATAAAATAATTGTCATTCTCTGACAACTGTTCAAACATTAGTACAAACATCTTTCACACCTGACGTAATGCAGCATGACTGAATTCCTATCAAAGAAAATATGTCAATGTGCATTGCATTCGTTTATTCATTCGGTATTTAAGGTTATCTATTTCACATGGCCCCGCCTACATATCTAAGGTACTTACAGGTCTTCTAGTGCCTCGAGGTTATGAAAAGCTCCCTCCTGGATGATTTCAATCTGGTTATCAGCCAGCTGCAGGGTCTTCAACCCAGCCAATCTTTGCAGGGAGTCCGTCTCGACTGTCACCATGGCATTTGACCTTATGTCACTAGAAATACAGAAGAAGTGGCATTGTAAATACACATTATGTCAATCTTGTCATCACCACTATTTTTTCATCACTTCATAACATTGTCTCAAGGATACACTTACAGTGCTTTCAGAGTTACTCAGACAAGTCACCATTCTGATTGGTTAATTTAAATTCAAAACTGACCAATTAAAATGTATCATTTGCAAAATAGTCTCAAATGCAAAGTTTATTGGCCGGACATTGAATAAAGAATTTATGAAAAGAAAATAAGTCGAAATTATCAATAATTTCTCATGGGGAACAAGTATTATCAAATCTTTAATTTTTAATGTAATTTCATAATTTTATTATTCTTTTTCCCCCTATTATTTGACAAAGATTTCAGTGAAAATTGAAATTTAATGTGATTTTTTTTTCTAAATAAACCAGACTGACAAAGCAATCCAACAAGAGACATAAACTTCAAACTGCAAAGTTATATGTTACGAAATTTTATCAACAAAATTACTTTAATTTTTTTTTGTATCATAAATTAACATTTTTTTCCACATGTTATAAATTTTACGAAGTTACAGTTCATAATAGTTTAGATTATTCATACCATATTCCGATATTAAAAATGAGAGAATAATTTAGTTTCGTTTTTTTTCTGCCTATTCACAGTTACAATGTTAGCTTTCAACCATTCTACACGCTTGTTTAGCTTTGATAACCCCATTTATATACAGCATGTCATAATGAAAATTTTAATTGGTCAATTTTCGCACCTTGTTTGGGTTGTAAATTGATTGATAAGATCAGTAAAGAAATATTTCTATACATTTATGAAGACACAAGACTGAAAGCCTCGTTCATAGTCAGCTATTTATAATGAACCCTCGACTGTTTCCTTTATTATTTATAGCCGAGAAATTTACATAATTGTTTAATTAATTTAATAAAATAAATTTACTAAATAAAACTGAATCGTTTTTTAAAGACCGTTCCTTAAACAAACCCATACACACAAGTATAAACTTTAGAAAAGTACTTTTTTTTTAAAAAAAGATTATTAAAGTTAACAAAATTTTTGTGAACATAAAAAAATCTTTGAATTTAAATAGCTATTTCACCTCACTAACTTTACAAATATCAGATGAATACCAAGTTTTGCTCTTTCTTTTTTTTTCTTAATTCAAAATAATTTTGTTGATAAAAGTGACATTCTGAAATTTGAAAATTACTATAATGAACTTTAATGATGCTGAAATAAAATTTTAACACAATTATGATGATGACGATGGGGAGGAGGAGTGATGATGATGATGTGATGATAATGATTTGAAATTTGATTTGAATAATTTTTATATATCAAGTGCAATGAGAATATATAAACTATTGATGATAAATTAATGATGATAATAACATTTCAGTTCATAATGACTAATGATTGATGATTGTGATGATGATGATGAAGTTTACACAAGTGAAAGTCTGTATCAAATGAATAGAACTCGTGAATACACCATAACTGTTGATGATAATGATGATGATGATGATAATGATGATGACCTGTACTGATAATTCTGACAATGGCAATGATAATTTTGAAGACACTTGTAGACTATGTTCTGGACATGATGGTGGCTTTTGTACACAGTAATAGTTCAGCATAGATAAAACACTACAAGAATTACAGGCTTACAGTGCAGATACCACTTATGTTGGAAGATGACAGCTTCTCCATAGTAAGTACCCACAATAATGTGCTAGTAATAACAAATTAATACAAACTACCCATCCTGGCATTTCTATGTGAGAAAAAAAAATTCTGACACTCGGTAAAAATTTTGACTAGTTCTTTTCGGCAGCTGGAGAATATGGTGATTATAGTACAAAACAAAAAAAAACAAAAAAACATGAGAATTATGTTTTTTGTTGAGTCCTCTGGAATAATTAAGTCCTGGAGGGTGGGGGGATGGTGCTAAAAGCGAAATTAAGAATGTTAATGAAGTTGTATGCTTGACGTCAGGTCGGTTTTGTTTGTTTTAAGAATGGCTCCTCATCGGCTGCAACATTCATAGTGTTCGCCTTTTAAACAAATGGAGAAAAAAAAATCACTCGCGCATTATCAGCAATTTCTTTAAGAAATTAAGACAATTTTTTTCTAAAACTTGTGAGGATCCTCATTCAGGGATGTTAATTAAGTTTGAATAATAACAGTGGAATATCATTAAAACAACAACAAAACCATGGTTATTTCCTATAACTCAAGGACAGTTTTTAGATCGTGAGATTTCAAAGGCTTTCGCTGAAACACCGGTTTCAAAATTAAATATCAATCACTGACAAGACTTTCTGTCAAAGGACATATTAATACAGATTTTAATTAATAATTACACCATCCTTATACAATAATAAATAGCAGAAGAATAATTTACAGGAAAGTGTTTTTACATATTCATAGTTTGACATTCTAATAATTACCGAACAGCCTTTTATTGTTGCATAATAAAACTGGGAGCAAAAACCACTTTGGCGCATTTGCGTAACAATTTATTCATTATTGGAATTATTACGAAAGTGACTTCTGCAACAGTATTTAGCAACAGTTCCACATTACACCAGGTGGCAGGAAAATTACAAAATCATATAAAACACTCATTATTTTAGCATGCATAATTACGCATACATATGCATGTTAAATTACTGCACATGGTTAGGTCAGAAGGGATCAAATTTAATTTTCTCGCTATCGGTGCAAATAATCAACTTTTTTACAGACGCAAATTAAGAGAAAATGGGTTGCTGATTAAATGCGCGTGACCAATAAAAAATAACTTTTTGCCCGATTAAGATTCTTATTCTAGAGTAGGCAAGTTTTTTCCGGAAAGAATGAAAGGTCTGAATACAATTCAGTATTCGATTAAAATCTACCAAATTATCAGCGCCTCCCTGCGCTATTATCAATTACTTCCAAATAGGCCCTAATTATATATTTTACGAGTATAATAAATACAGCTGCATATTATAAATTGCAAATTAAATTTTGAAATAAGAATTCAAAAATATCCCGAAAAAGTAACGCATATGCACAATAAAATTCGGAAAAATTTTAATAAATTTTCTGACAAGAAGCACACATGCATCATAAAATGATCTATAATAACTTTATTGTGGGATGTATTTTTTTTTCCTTTCCGCAATTCAATAAACTGATACACACTTTGTTCCGAGAAAACAAGATGCTTGAGCTGCGAACAAAATAAGCACTGCAGGAAAGGGGCGGGACTATTTCATGCTTTTAACAACATCAATAAAATTTGTTAATTATCGTTTAAACCACCATTTCTTTCAATTTTATGAGATACCGTAATGATTAAATTTTTTTAACAATCAGTTTAAGAACAAACAAAAAGCCCCATTTCGAACATATGCATAAATCAATTATTACACCCCCCTCTAAGCACCCCCTGTGTAGCCCTTCCGTCTACCCCAAAAGCTGCGAAACATTTAGCAAACAGGTGGAAAGTATCGCATACTGAGTAGATATAAGAACATACGAACCATCTCACGTTTATTTATTCAATATACAGTCAACTAACAGATGTACTCCACATTATGCCCTGTATATAATAACCAGGCGGTCTTCCTAGGAAAACATTATAACCAACATTATAAACTACACTTCCCATACATCTGAACATCATCATTTTTACACCTTTATTACTGCACTTATTTTTGTACTTCATACTCCCATATACTAGGTATTGACAACCTTCCCAAATAAAACCATTCGTAAAACACGAAAAACATGCATAAAAACAACTTTCCTCCACATATACCCCTAAAGAACCCAAGAACATACCCCTAAAGACAACAAACACATGTAGCCTTACAATTCCTATTCAGCTCGATATTTCAGATCAGTATTAATTAAGTACAAATGAAATAAACCCCTTTCAAGTCCCCTGCCAGAACTGACCAATACAGGTTCCATTTAGGAAACATTAGGTTGTGGCCAGAGAAAAACTCAACCCCATGACCACTAGGTTTGTGCCAAAGAAACTGACAACCAAAGGCCCCCTGGATATTCTGACTCCACTTTAAACAGACACACGAGCATGCAAGAGCCAATTTTTCAATAAATCAACAATTCCATCATGGAAATTACTTAGTGATCAAAGAAAGCTTTGTAAATATAGAAATACAATTTCAATCTTGTTTCAGTAAAGAAGGATAAAAAAAAATAATTGAGAAATATATTAAAATTCAACATCTCTAATAAAGCAATTAATTTCTATTTACTGTGAAGCATTACAAGACCCCTACTTCTTTCCTTTCAACAGATCAAGGTTTTCTGGTAAAAGCTAATGCACCCTTCTAAAAGAGAAAACTTTTCCCATTTCCGGATATTATCATTTGAAACAATTAACAACAAACCTCAAACAATTCAAACAATTGCTCCAATCCCCCCTCCTCAATCTCTCACTTTAGGTGTTGTATAAATTATTTCCAATTTCTATATTCAATTTATAAGCATCTTTATTTATAGAGGGGCAAAGAAAATTTAAGTGAAGCACATCTTAAGTATTTTATGTATTCAAATAAATTTCAGAGATCGTGGACTTGCTATAAAGTTTCCCTGAATTTTTTAATTTTCTATTTCAGCCAAAAACGTTTTTTTGTAATTTTTTTTTACGAGAACAATAAAGTTCGATGCCAACGATAGATTAAAGTCTTTCCCTGCCAATAGACCTGTAGACATAATTATTATTTGGACAGACAGAATAATAAATAGAATCAAAGTTTCCTTAATGCTGGGACAAACTTAGAAATTCATAGACTAAATATCTCTCGATTCCATCTAACTGAACAATTTATGACTAATTATCTATATTTTTCCCCCATCTTAATATACAAAACTATTCATAACTATTCATAACATCAAAATTCCTTCAACCTATTGGCGGATATTGTAAGGAAATAAATCTTACTTAGCGACCAGAACCCTAGAAATTTAATAAAAAATACGCCATTTTGATGACTGCAATTAAAACAGATTACAGACTTGAAACAATAATTTAAATTTGAATGGTGTAAATGATACTTTTTTTTCTTAATGTCAGACCTTCAGACCTGAAAAACTACACATCATTGTAATTTGGAATATCCAAGGAATTGTCATTGCCTCTTGGAAATACTAGAACCTGTGGCCTATGGTTAAGGTGTCTACAACTTCATTTGATTTGTTTGTGCCAGCTATGTTTTCTCATCTGACCAAGTACTGGTCAAGAGGCCTCCAGAGCAGACTGGTTTAGGTTGCAAACATCACATCACTACAACCTGACAGTGCTGTTGGTTTGAATCCCATAAGAGGATTTAAGATTTGTGTGTCAGAAGAAGCAATCCAGCAAGGCAGCTTACAGAAGGTTGGTGATTCTACTCAGGTGCCCACTTTGTGCATGAAATAATGTAAGGAGGGGCACCTACAGCCTACTACACCTGTTTAGCTCAAAATTTACATTGTCAGTGGCACTCTAAACCTAAAACAACCAATATCAGAACTGATCATCAGTAAATATTGTAAAGACTTTGAAAATCAAACCAAAATAAATGTATCTCAACCCAATGATTATGATTGAAAAAGATTTTTTTCTTTATTTCATTTAGAATCTAAAATAGTTTTATCATGTATAATAAAAGCAGTGATTTATCAAACCATATTTGCGAAATCGTGCGTTTTCATATTGGATTTAAAGTTTCCCAAAACATGAACATTTTTTGGTGGTAAAAAAACATTTCATCAAAAGAGGAAAAATTCATAATCATGTACGAGCAACGCCCCCTGGGTTTCCGTGTCACTTGCCACTAATCATACATGGCCCAGATGAAATTAACATCATAAAAGACGCTTACAAATCCGTCATTTGCATCAGAATATGTATAATACAGCATCAAATCTAGCATGCAGCTACAATAATTACACATATGATTGAAATGAATTTCGCCACACTTGGGTATCAATTCACGAGATACAGGCAGTGAAAATTATCTATCTTGCTACCATTTATTATACATTGATCATGTCTCTCCTTCAGATGAATTCTTCTACAAATTTGAAAGAGAACTCCCGGCAGATGACTGAAATATCTCGCTAACAAATATTTTCTAATTCGATTTTTTACTAATTTTAAGATGACTACAACCTTTCTGCTGATGTGCCTATCATAATTTTCACTATATCTCGATGATTTTTGTTTTTCCTTATAACTATCATAAGCTTATGAATTATTTTTTTGTGTGTTTATATACGTGCATTTTTCTTTTTTAATGTTAATAAGATTCTGCATTTTCATGAATAGCAAGGTTTGTTTGGATGCTCGAATCATTCTTTCTCATAAATTGTATAATGTTTACACCAAATGATTTTTCTTCGGTTCACAGACCTTCATCAATAGCCTGTTTTGAAGGTAAGATTTCCCTGTGAACATAAAATGACCATAAAACGCTTGAACGGAAATGATTAAACAAACAATGAGTACAAGCATAAATAAACTCATGGGGAGTTGAACACTGTTTAAATTAACAAGAAATGAATCCGAACTTGTCTTCCCTCTACCGTGCACTACGTTAACACATATGGCATGCACATACATAGAAACATATAACAACTATGAATACATATGAACGCCCGAGTCTTTATTAAACTCAGCTGTCTATAATGCCGTTAACAGTCATTCCATCCGCCATTAATTCACGTTTCTCTCATAGCGAAATAACCTCAATCGCTAAAATGTGAGAATTTTTCATTACCTTAAAAACATTAAAAATCATTAATTTCTTAACAACTGGTTTTAGCTTCCGGCAAAATTCTGCCTACAAAGTGCCTTAATTACGAAGTAGCACTTCAAACTTAACAATATTACCTCGAGAATCAACACTTCTTTAAAACTGCAATTCATAAGCATCAATTTTAGCTTATGTTTCAGTAGCTAAGAATACCGTCAATTAGAATAACCTAACTCTTCTCTGAATTTCTATAAAAGAAAACTAAAGATTTTAAATTTAAAATCGCACATAATTAAAATTGATAAAAGCTCAAAAATTTAATGTGACAATTTCGTTCCCATGTCTTTAACTGACTAAAAATAAATGGAAAAGAAAAGAAATGCATAATAAAAAGAAAGTAATTATTCTAGTCAAGTTTCAAATTTAGAAAATTGAACAAAAAATTGTCTCGACTTGTTCTGCTATATCAGAGGACAGTCATAGTGTTTGTTACATTACAAACAAACAAAGCACAATCATCCTCATACAAATATCTCCTAGAAACTAGAGAAATTGAAATCTGAACTGAGATTTCTGTTGAAAATTATGGTGCTTGGATTGGCAGACATTTGAAGTGATTCCTGCGGAGAGGTTCAACAACATAAACACCTTGAAACCTGTACAATTAATACACAATTTGTTATTTTCATAAAGAGCAGTAATGATGTGTAATAACGCAACAAGATAAAAGTGGCGAAGTGATGGAAATCATCACACCTCCCTCCAGCATATGTTTATAAAGCTTCCAAATTGACTGTCACAATAAATTCACGATTTCGCGGTGGCTTGTTTATTCCGAGAACATGATTACACAACTGCCGTCACATATTCTAGCAAATTCTTTTTTCATTTGGAACTAAAATTTACCACAATGATGGCTTTTAAAAGAGAATGCTATAAAAGAAGGAAATGGTAAAACTGTTCATCATTGTTTGTTGTAAATGTATTAAAACATTTTGTCACCTGATTCAACAGTACTGATCCAGACATGAAGTGATGACCAATATGATGATGATGGTGATGATGGTGATGATGATAAATGGTGAAAATAATAACTGTAACAATTTAAAGATGTTGATGATAATAAGAAGTATAAATCATTGATGATGATGATGATGATGTGTTGATGATAATGAAGATGATCATGACAATGATGATGATGGCGATGATGATAATGATGATGATGAATATAAATATGACACAAGTGATACTGGTGAAAATGGTGTTTAATGTTTCTTAACCTCTAGAGCATAGGATTTTTTTTTCACTTTCGTACTTTTAATACATAAATATTTTGATCATGATAATAATGATAATTTTGTGAAGTAAGATAATACTTACAGGGTAACAACATGTGGGGCATACTCCCAGGCCTTCGACTCTATCTTGTTCACTTTATTATGAGAAACCGACCTGAAATCAGAATAAAAATCAATTATTATATCATACTCACATAAAAATTTGCGTAACTTGTAAATTCATAGTTACAATTTCAGACTAGTAACTATAAATCCATTGATACATTCAATCTGTCAATAGTAATATTTCTAAAATGCTTCAAACAGGCTTTTTATTTTCCCATAAACTTCTTAACAGTCTTTTTTTTTCCCCTGTGGAAAAGGTTCACTATTTCAATCAACACCCTGTAATAGGTTTACTTAAGGCTCGTTTTTCCAAGCAGCAATAAACTGTTTATTTATATACGTGATAGACTGGTGCCTCTGACAAACAACAAATGGGGCAGATCACATGCACCATCAAAGAGGAGATAGCTTCATTTGCTTCAACTCGTACATACAAACATCAAAACGCAATAAAACAACTGCTCCGAAGTCTAACGAAAAGCTAATAACAAAATATATTGGATTTGTTTAAAGTAGTTAAAAAGTTGTGTTTGATATTGGTTGTCAAATAATTAATAACTTGTATAATTATATATAAATTATCAGTCACTGCTTATTCTACTTTGCATAGTTACTGTTACTCTTAATAACTGATATCAACATTTAAATTGACAGTGAATATTAGCACCAAAGTCTATACTGGCCACTGGCTTAACATTGGTGGCACAGGCAGGCACTCCAGGCTCTATAAAACTAGCTGACTAACTTCAAACCTTCATCTTGATACCCCCAAAATTGATAATGGACAGTTTCAAACATGGAAGCTGGACAAGTCCATTTCAGAAATTGAGCACGGTATGGGCAAAAGGCCTTTAGGAACAAGAAAAAGTCGTCCCTTCCAACAACCTCTCATGTACATTTTTATAGATGTAGATTTTAACCCTTCTAAAACTAAACCAAAACATCTTCATTACATACACATCAAGAAACCTATTCTGTGTGTGTAATTAAGGTCTCAAATTTATAGAAAAATGCTGTTTCAATGAACATCAGGTTTAATTTCGTAAATTCAATCTGGACCTTTGATTGTACCGGTTATCCAATATGTAACTTTGTGTAGTACAGAAAACCAGTCAACCGTTACTCAGGATCGCATTATTTGGGCCCATTTGAATTAGATTTAAAGGAATACAGCATTGAATTTCGCCTTAATGCGGAATTAAAATATCTGAAGTTGCGATGAAAATTTCATTAACCATTTCATTCCGCTGTTGTGACTGAAAATGGAATGACATTCATCATGGCAACACTACAGATCCTTGGCGAAAGGGGGGAAAAAAATGTTCCGTATGTCAGAAGTAATTAATGAGTAATTGTTATAATTTTTTCTGCCATGTCATAACAGAGAAATAAATGAAAATTACAAAGGTTTTTTTCTCAACATAACATTTATACTAATAAAAATGGCAACATATTTTTTATGGCTCAGGCATGAAACCTCGTCACTGAAAAAAATAAAATAAAATCAAGCTCACTTAGCAATTACAAAACATGAATTTGAGACCATATCAACATAAAACTGGCTATATTTTCCCACTTCTGTCCGACTGTAAAACCAATTACCCCACCCCTCACACCTGGAGAAGCGATCAATCGAGAATTGTCAAAACTTATCATCTCAAGTGTCAAAACTGATCCGTCTTTCATCTAATTTGCGCCAATTTTTCTCTCTTTTCTTTGCATTTCTCTACTATTATTCAAAAACCAGCCAAGTCTTGGGGAAAAGGAAGCCTCTGTTTATATTTTGAGAACCTGCTCAGCTCATTAGAAGTACTATGGCTGCATGAAGAATGAAGAAATCACAGATATGAGAATCAAATCACCAGAAATGGAACTTTGTTCTGGAGACTTTAATGAGATAACCAAGCGAGCCAAGAGGAAAAAGGAACCCAAAGTATCAAAAGAACTCAATGTTTATTCATTCACCAGCAAGCATTCACATCTCATTCAAAAACCATACACTAACAGTCTTGTTATTGGTATGATAATCAGGGAAGTATTCAAACAATTTCATCAACTTCTGTATCTGGTACAATAACCAAACACTAGTTCCCTTTTGATATGGACCTAGTTTGACTAAAATTTACACAAGCTTATATGCCGTGTTCATGACATTACTAGTTCTTGTATTATTGCTATAACAGTAACAGAATTCATTTTTTTGTCCTATCTAATTTTTTTTTGTCCTATCTTATTGACAAATGTATAATTTTTACTTTATATTTCCTTTGTTACATATATTTCAAACAAGTAATAAAAAAATTCTCCTTAAAAAAACTGAAAACACACGTCGGCAATAAAAACATCGCAACCCCATGTTATATTACATAAATTCAATTTTAATGTTCTTATTTCATCGAGACTGCCTTACAATAAGCTCATAATGTTGTACGATATTTCATGCACATTTCTGTCTCTTTTCAAATTTGTAGCTCGCACAAGTACAATACTAGCAATAAATCGGTTCCATTAAGCCTTGCATAATATGAAATTTTGATTCTTTACAATACATGTTTATTGATGCTTTGAAAAGATAAGCTTTCAAATGATGCTGTTAAAAAAAAGTTTCTTTTCAGGCCTGTTAAAAATAAAAATATTCATAAAATGCAAAAGAGCTTTCCCCATTTACCAACAAAGCCTTTTAATAACTGTGCGACTATAAATTTACTACAAGTACTATTTTTTCGCCCATATTTACCAATTAAGATTAATGGACAGATTAAAGGTGTACCGTTTTCTATATAAACTCGGTTTTATTAACAAACCAAACGAAATAAATCATAAAACACAAACTCCCATTTCCTAGCCGTAATTTCTAACATGTAACTGGCAATTTTCACATACCATACTTAGTATTAAAAGACATCTTGCCAAAATATTGTTTATTGACATTTTTGCCGATATATATTCCAGGTGTTTGTATTCACACCTATATACCTACAATGCCCACACCTGCCAAAACATCGAAGTAAATTGGCTTAAAATGTGCCTTCAATTTTAATTAGATCGTTACAAAACTTACGGCTTGTCTGATTTTTCCTGTACACCTGCTATAACAAACCCTTTACCCCATCCGCTTTCTTTCTTTTGATTTCTTTCAATTGGCACGAATTCCCTTAAAAAACATCTTTAAAGCATTGTGCCAAAATTAAAAGAAACCGTTCCTTCTGCTTGAATGTTTGTTTTAAAGAAAAAGTACTTTTCTACATCAAAGTTTAATTTTTTTTAAATGGGAAAAATATCAAAACAAATTACAAACAAACACGCGTACATGAACCAATTATTTTTAAAAAGTTTGCAGAAAATGGACTTCATATTTTATAACAAATCTTCCGAAGTTATATAGTATTGTTATTGAGCAGATTACGATTACAATGTGGCATTATTTTTCTCATACTGGATTACTTACCAAAACACAACATTCTGTTTTCAACATAAAACAAGCCGTAAGTATTCCCAGACAACGAGCATATGAGAGTACGAATAATAATAATTATATAAAGCCATTCGTTCTCCCCTTTTTTGCCAAATGCTTCTATAAAACGGGAATAAAATACATATGGAAGCTCTTTTTTCCAAGGTTTGCATGTTACGATAATAAATGGGTAACATTGTACTAAAGGCACGCCACTATTCAACCATTTCGGTTCAGGTACTTGACTTTACTGTTATTTGACGAGAACCTATATTATCTGTTTTATATAAATTTTCTTGTGTGCCTGTCATGAAAATGTGTAAAGCATTTATTGCCGGCAATTACTTTATGATACATGAACTGACAAAAAAGAACATATAGGGCAACTGCTATCTGAACTGAATCTTTTTCCACCCTATAGATATGTACTTTATACAGGATCATAATATCCAAATAAAACAACACTGAATAAAACAAAATCAGACATCACACTTCCATAAAGCATTCCTTTTTAATATTCATAAATAATTATATCTTGAAATTACATTTTCACAAAATTCAACTCCACCTCATGAACAAACAGAATTAAGAAATTAATAAAGTTTGTACCCTGTAGACTTTGCCAAAATAAAGTTTGTACCCCGAGGACCTGGCCTATGTTTTCGACACCATGTCTAAACAAACTAAAACAGAGTCAATTTGTTTCCTACTGATTACACAGCCAGAAGAAAAATCTCCAAACAACAGTGACAACTTCCTCACATTCATCAGAAATTTCAGCAATCATGGATACATGCTTTCAAATTAAAGATTATCACTGGCAATGCTCACCGTCTGAATCTCAAAGACAAGCAATGTAAAATAGATAATTAAAACACTTACAATTCTTTAAGGTTGTTTAAACCATACAGCCAGTTCTGTGATATTGTTGTCAGGTTATTCTCATCAAGTTGCCTGTAAAATACAAAACATTATCATTTTACAATATTATATTTCTTTTTCATACTTTAAACAAACAGGTTTGGTTGTTTCATTCATTAAAATGGTGGAAAACGTTATTGACAACAACTTAATAATGTACTTTAATAGTCATTGACTGTTTTGGGCACCATTTTGTGGATTATAAATAGTTTTTATTAATTATCATTAATTTAGAAATGGGAAACCCCAACAAAGAAATTTATTATCAATAAAATTCATTAAGTTTTTTTTCCACAAAAAAACAAACAAACAAAAACACCAAAAATAAAATGATTAACACCAGCAAAAAACAAAAACCAATAACAAAAACCACAAAATATCTTTTATTTTTTCTCAACGTATTTTGTAATTTCTGCAACAAAAACTACACCTTGTTATCAAAATCACCTTTTTCTTTCCTCAGAAAGTACCGAAGGAAAAGTTGAAGCATCGATATCAAAGGTTTTCCCTGCATTAATGAAAACCAGGTGCCTGTACAATTTCTGTATCTATTTAACATGACACACACTAGATACAATGAAGGTTGCATGTCTTAAATATATCTCATTCTCATTTCACTCCTATTAATTTGACAACACTGCAAGCATAATTTATCCCATCCCAGCCAATAAATTGTTTAAATTAATTGACAACATATACCCCCAATAAATTTTCTAGCATCCCAGCTGATAAATAAATTGTTTGGTTTGTATTAATTGACATCATATATATAATAATACCCAAAATAAATTTCAAAGCATCAAACCCCTAACAATACTCGATCTGATAAATTTTCATCATCCTGATTTCAGAGCTGTCAGAATATTGGTATCCAGAGGGACATAGTGATAAAAATTGCTTAAATAAAGTATATGCGACAATGAAGTATGAAAGTTTGGACAAACTGATTGAAACTTTCAGTCTTGCTAAAAATGGCTCCATGCTTCCAACAAAGGTAGGATTCTATCTACTGTTTTAAGCAATAATTATAATTCCTATTATTAAAGTTACAAAACATCTTTTAACATAAATTGTCCTGGCCATTTTCATTGCATCTGAATGTAAAACAAAAAGAAGACTTTAAAAACGCTGATTCCGGGGCCGAGTGCTTAATGCAGTTGATACAACCGTCATAATAATTATATATACAGTATCTTTCTTTTTGTAACATCATAAAGGTCGAAGGGTTTAAGTCAATAAGGTTTATGGCAGAGTAAGAAGCATTATGAATATTCAAAATTTGTAGGAAGGGCAAAATGTATCAAAGATACGTCTTTTACTAATTCAATACACCTGGTATGACATTCTTTGCTGATGTCACAATGTGTTTTTCTCGCAAATCACAAGCAACTGGGGTATGTTCAATGTGAACTTACACTAACATAGTTCATGTGCCCTCGTTCAAGACACTGATCAACAATATCCGTATATCTAAATAAAGTTATATCATATCAGTTCATGTGAACATTCTACATTGTTGGATCCCAGAAAAAAAAATTTTTTTTGGACGGCGGAATTTTTTCAAAGTTCTCGCTTGGCAGGTAGTTATCTTATAGAACACTTCTGCGATCATAAAAGTCTCTCATTATAAAGTTGCAGGCTGACTGCAGGTGTCTATGGTGATAAGGTCGGGTCAATGAGCCAGACATACAAGGGGTGCAGAAAGGCACTCACTTACTGGCAAATTTCAGCGCGAACTCTCACAATACTGGCAAATTTCTCTGAAATTCAACAAATGAGGTGTTTTGTTTAGCGTCTGTATGTCAGACTTCAAATAATTAGTATCATATCTACTTAACATTGAAACGCCAGATTGGCTGACGGCAGACACTCAACTTTGGCAAAATTTGTTGAAATTCGACAAACAATTCGTTTAACAGCTACTGATTACATTTCTCCAGTTCCTAAAGTATCATGATACGGAATGGCTTTATGTGTAAAGAACTCGTGCACTTATTGTCGAGACACATTCGTATTATATAAAATCAACAAACACCACCTATTCTGAAACATCAAAACACATTTACGGCAGTTAGATGCTATAAAAGACACGTCTTTGAGAGGCCTTCGCGTTAATCAGTTCTGATCATCAATTAATATTTCACAGTATTTTTTCTGAAAATGTACAGCACATTAAAGGCATATACAGAGAAGTTCCTGTAAAAAAACTTATTGAAGGGACAGATGTTGTTAATATGCCCCGATATAAAATTTTATATCAGTGTTTATCATTCTTTTGGTAATTTTTTTATTATCTATGTTTTATTTAATATCAGAGGAAGCTAAAAACATATGTTTAGATGATTTTACACGCCAAACACAAAGTGTGGTCTGTACCAAGCAGGTGCAGGGGTTTCTTATGCGCCAAAATCAGAGATAAGTTACAACCCGGCTACCATATGATACCCATAATGCAGCTTCATTACAGGAAGTAGCTGTACCATGTTGCCATGGTAAACAGATGTAGTCACGCCATACTGTACTTAGGATGCAGCTGGGCGAAAACAAAAATGTTAAAAAATCACCAGGAAAAAAATCACCAAGCTAATGTACATGAAATTATGACAGGGATACCCTCTATGTTATTTCTGGTCAATGAATTCATAAATTTAGTTTAACGGCTGGATGATATGAAGTTATATAATATGATGACTTAACACATGATCTAATTTGAAATTCTTTAAATTAAATGTGTTAGCTTTTATTTTTTTTTAATTCAATTCATATTCAAATTGTCTCATTAATTATATAAATCTTTTAGTTTATCTATTGAATGAATGAATGAATGAATGAATGAATGAATGAATGAATGAATGAATGATTTCAGTATTTACAACTAGAATATTATATGACTTTTATAATGCACAGTCTACCATTTTTAAGTGTCAAAACCTATCCTGCCAAAAAATTTGGGTTTATTTTTTTTTTTTTAAATATATGTGAAAATTTAAACTGAGGACTTGGGAATTTTAACTCCCCTTTTTCAAAAAAATTATCTCTCCAAACGCAGATGTTGAAATAAAAATCTACAGGAATGTTATTTATTTCATTTAATCATCTCTTTTTCTATTTTGTCTTCCAAAAATTATCATGTACAGGTTTTAGAACCTAACAGGTGAGTTAGGTATTTATATTTTAAGAAGGGGGTATTCAGTTACAGATGATACTGCACCATGATACAGCCTTCCTATCTTAATTACAGGGCAGGAATGCGGACTGGTGGTTACATCAGAATCCAGGCCCATATCACATTTTGCAGCAGAATATCTCATACCGGACCAAACGCTATATAACTGTATCGTACCAGATAACAACCCGGTATTTACAGCTTTTTGGCCTCGTACCACTAAATTAACAATGCACTAAATGTTTCTTTTCAAATGTGACCAGTAAAGTTTTTTATTCGCTTTTTTCCTTCTTCCCTCTTATCTTTGTAGAGATATGGAAAACAGACAAAAACCCAAAGAAGTTGAAATCTAAATAAAGCAGAATCTATGAAAAAGATGAAGTTACAAACACAAACATTTTAATGAGATGAAATAAATACAGGAAAAAAAACTTTAATCACTATGTCTCATGTTTTCTTTGTTATCAATTGCACGTATGCAGGTTTCTACCGACTGGACTGGGTGAACTACGGATGGTAAAAAAGAAGTTTTTTGTTGAAATGAGCTGAGCTGAACAAGAGCCACTAGCATGATTCACACCATTTATTCATATGAGGCTAAATAAAAATATAAAAATACTTATAGTTTTGAGCTAGAACAATGCACATCATTTATTTAGAAATGCAAGGTTAAAAAATACTTATATATTTTATCAAATGACATAATAACTGTCTAATGTGAGCGGTTCGACATTTAACTTATTAATGTAGACAAGCACTGCAATCTGTTATCAATGATGCTTGGCAATCAGTATGCATGTTCAAACTTTGTTTACATCATTATGTTTCAAAATTTCACTTTATCTTTTTGAAGCTGCACTTATATTTTTGTTCCTATTAAACATTTCCGCCCAGAACTGATCAACTAAAAACACCAAATCTCAACATCTGCCAGTGTTTGCTAGTTATCCACGCAAATCCGAATGTTTTCCAATGAACAAGTCAAGAAAGCATCGATAAAAACATCTGAACGCCATCTTTGAAGTTAAAAAAACAGCCGGCACTGGTATCAGGTTGTGAATTGCCCCGGCAATTAATGGGAGTTGCAGAATCGCGCATCAAAACAAAGTGTCAGGAAAACATTGCTAGGATGTCCCACCATCGCTAATGATTGATAATGCGAATGCCACAACTTTACCACAGAACAATGTAAAAGCGGAGATACATACATACATATGACTGGTTTCGCAAATTGATGGATTATCTCAATAACTTAACTGTTTAAGAAACAAACATCGCCTGTCAAATAGAGGGAGCTATTTCTACCGTTCTCACTTCAAAATCAATAAGTTTGGACAAACTCTGCACGGAAAACACCCATTATTTTGAATATTCATTATACTCGGAATGGAAAACAGCCAAAAATGTTGCTAACAAGAGAAACCGATCTGGGGAAAAAAAACTTGCCTCAAAGAAACAAAATACGAAGTCTCTCCGGTTTTTCTACAGGCTGCATGATAATAATGTCATAGATACCCCAAAAATTGGCAAAAAACTTAACAAATGTCGGGGAAAAAAAAGCAAATTTGTAACTTAAAGTATCACTTTCTACAGAAGAATATCCATTTCAGGAAAAAAAAAACATCAGCTCCTCAACATTCTAGAATTACATGTCATGTATAATTCAACATTTACATTAGTCTCATTTAAAAGATAAAAATTACTCAGACTTTTCTGCAGTTTTAATGGCTTACATTGTTTGTGTTTTGTATTTTTTTCTCTGAAAAAAATTTCTTTTCCGCTCCCCCCACCCCCATTTTTTTGTTATCCGGTTAATTTGGTTTCCTTTTATCTGTTGTCATATACAGTTACATATCATATGAGTGAAGGTGCCAAAACCTGTCAGACCTAGGCATATTTCTGATTGTTAGATCTTTTAATTCTGTTTGATATGCCTGTTTTTATTGGGCACGGATACCACCTTTCTCTAGTTAAAAAGAGATTTCAGTCTCTAATTACTCAATTAGATAGCCTTTGAAGATGCAACTATTCCATGAACATTTCCGATAAGAGTAACAATTCTTTTCGCTAAGTTCTTCACATAATTCAATAAAAGCAAGCCGCTAAAAGATGGATAACAAATTCTCTTCCAAAACACTTGGACTTGCATCGTAATTATGCCTCTACCAATTTAATTGGATCATGAACAGATTCGCAATACCATTCGAATATGCGTACCTTACAATTATTACAGATTTCAGTTATCAAATTAATTATGAAATCAAAACTCAAACAGCGTCATTGCCTGAGCTGCCGTTTATAGTTAGGGACTGTTTTGCACACCGATTTAAGTTTCTATACAGACAGCGGATACAGAATCTATCAATGCTACAGCCCTAACCAAGATCTGCCAACAGGTCCCTGCTGTCTAGTCACAGATTTTGTAATTGTCATGACCAAAGGAATTTCAGACTTTGTTATTTATCAAACTAACTTACAGATTTTGTAGGCGATCAAGACCGAAGAAAACGCCATCTTCTAGAGTATGGATCATATTTTTCCTCACTTTCAATAACTGTAGACTTCCAAGGCCCTTAAATGTTAAGCCCATTAGACGGGAAAGCTGGTTCTTGGACAAGTCCCTGAAATAGAAATAACCAGAATTTATATAATATAATAAAAATAATTATTCTTGAATATACAATTTTCATCAAAAGAAGTATAACGTTATTAAAATATCTCATAATACAACATGAGTTTTTTCAGTAAGCTATGTTACAGAACATTAAACCAATGCTGTTAGATCACATACATGTATATAATTTTTAAAAGCAGCATGCCTCCAGATGAGCCAAAATATTTCAAGAAAATCTAACTTGAGAAAAATACATAAAAAATTTGAGAAAAGTAAAAAGATTCAATATTTAAGTAATAAGATAGATATTATATGCATTTAATGACTGATTTTGACGTAATTATCATATTTCTACTGTGGGCTACAGTAAGGGCTATTTCTGCATATTTTGATCTGGTTTTTTTTGGTAATTGTCTTAGATTCTAAGTGCTGTCGCAATGTGTAAATTAATTTCTTTGTTTACTTGACAATATTTTACTTTTTAATACATTTTTAAAACTGTTCATGAATCATATAGCATGAATCTGAAGGCATGCGGCTTTAAACTCATTTTCTGCAGTCTAACAAGAGCTTCTCTCTTATGCCACAAAAATATTTGATACAAAAACTTGATGCCACAAAATTCATGTAAAACTTGGGACGACGTCACTTAGATTAGTCATTTTTTCAATAAAACTTTAATTCCAAAATAAAATTGCGATATTTGTCTTTTATATTTTTAGTCATCTGCATACAGACATAACTTCAGAACAATACAGGAAAAATTCTAATCCTAGATATCTTCTTTTTTACTGAATATTATTTCTGAATCATAAAGAGGGATACTAACTGACAACATTAATACTTTCTTTAATTATTCATTACTTTGAAAATCTACTTCTTAAGAGAAATAATCATAAAATGATGTCCATAAAATTTGATTTTAAACTAAGACAATTACAATTCATTACAGAGCATGTTGAAAATAACGAAAATTTGCACACTTACAAAGATTTCAAATTGGCGAGTTTAATGAAGAGGTCTTTAGGGATATGGGATATTTTGTTCTTGTTTAGTTTTAAAGTCTCCAGTTTCGTCAGATTGTAAAAACAGCCAGCTTCAAAGTAAATAATCTCATTGTTCCGTAAAAATCTGAAATAAAGAACAGAAAATAAAAAGAAATATGAAACTGTTCAACTATTTACATGTAAATGAAATATAAGTAAACAAGCAATAATACACTTGTTTTGAAGAAAAAAGCAAGATATGGATTTTATTTAATGTTTGCAATGTATCACGGAACTTTCAGTTAGTCACATTTCATCTGAATAACTTTCAATGCAGTTACGGTTTCTTCTAGATAATTCTTCTAGATAACAACGTCACTGAAGAAATCACATTTATTTTTTATTATTTATTTTGAATGTAACTTTTCTTCATTTTACGGTTAACAACAAGTTCCCAGTTAGCAAAGTACCAATGTTTTTTTATAAATTAATCATATGAGTATTTTTCATGTAGGAAATTAAGATATAAAAAAAACAAAATATAAATATTTAACTCTGCAAAAAGATCAAAAGTTTTTGTAAAATATTGTTTACATACACTTTTACTATGATGTGGCACATTTATTTATTTTTCACTTCAATAAAAGTATTGTAATGAAATACAAAATTCACATCATGTGATGTGAGCGAGATAATACAAGCAAAAGAGAGAAAGAGGGGGAGAGAGAGAGATGCAGAAAACCTGCCAAACTTTCTGTCAATATATCATACACCATCACTCAATAAATCTTGCCTCCCATTATACAACACAGTGTGTGGCAACACAAAAAACCATCGCCATACTACAAAGGTCTTACTGTGAAACTTGTCAAACTGTTTTAACTGTATTAACCCCCATGAAATATGAAGCTCTGCAGATTTAACACTGCAACAACTATGTGTTAAAACATAAGCTTTTTTATGCCGAAAAAAAAAATAACGATGAAAAGAAACAAAAAAGAACTTTCCATATTATGAAATACTGTCGAGGCAAAAAAATGTAACATGCTAAATTTACAGAAACACGTTACAATGTAACAAATCGTACAATATGTTAAATGTTTCTTCACACCCGAGTGTTTCACATGTTTGTTTACATGATATAATTACTTGTCAACTATTGCGTAAGTGAAATGCATGCACGACTCTAAGGCATAAAAGAGCAATTATTTTCAAGGGGCAAAAATTCACGGCGCTAAATCAACTTTGGTCTTCGTAAATTTTAACGTACTGACAGTTTCAATTAAGATTCTCATATGAAATTGTGCGTTTTATCAATATATTCCTATTTTTCCGAATGGAATTATTTCACGATAAATAACAAATATGGCCTAGTTCTGCAGAATATTGGCAGACTTCTTCGGTTTCGCCCGAGTCTGTCAGATTTAACATCCAATATGATTTTATTTGGATGTTTTCCTTTTTCCGACGAAGACATTTAAATCACTGATACTCTCCCACAGCGTCTGATTGATTCTATTCGGCAGATTTAAATCACAAAAGTTCGTCTTGATATTAAACGCTTCCATGTCAGCCTCTAAAGCCGCGGACAAGTTTTGAATGAGTATATCAAGTAAGATCGGAATATGGAAGAATATAAAATATTTAAAGGAAACTGGCAATTATATGAGAAAAGATTGCTATCACATATGATTAGTTCACACTATTGTGAGAGTAATTCCTCTTTTCATGAGTAATATATTTTATTAACCAAGCTAACACTAAAATTGATAGTTATAGTAGCTTGGGTCTTTTTTTTATATATTTTTTTTTACTCTTATTTCTCCTTTCACTCTTGCCTTGATTGCAGCCAACTGATTCTACTTAAATGCAACCAGTCTAGATCAAGATCAGCCGGCAAGATTGCGTAGTCTGATCATGGTCACATGACCACTGTTTGCTATTCAGTTGGTGCATACATGTATTTTGAAATTTTCCCTCGACAATGTCACATGATCAATGGTTTAGTCAGGATTAAAAAACTGACAATTCTATTTAAGATATTAAGCATTGTAAAAATTTCTTTACTAAAAATGAATCCACTTGTTGTATACTCACAATTTGGTAATAGAAAGGTTGGCTGGAAACGTAGCGTTTGTGATGTCTCTGATGTCATTATAGGATAGATCCAGCATGTCTAGCTGCGGTAACTGTTTCAGGGCATTCCCATTAATTGTATGTATCTTGTTATGTGTTCTGTAAACAATTATAAATAACACAACTAAAATAATGTGGATATGAACTGATAAATGATTGAAATTTCCTTCAATTCCCAACCTGTATTACAAAATCTATATTTTAACTTTAAAACCACAAATTTCATTCAATTCCCAAACCTGATGTGTAACATTTGTATTACAAAACAAAATCTGTGAAAATCTTCCAAAATCTGTTAAAATCTATGTAAACAATCAGCATTGAGGAGTTGTCGACCCACCAGTCTAGAGCCAGGCCAGTCTGCACATTCTGTGTGCCCTGACCAAACTCTCTATTCTGTTGAGAACTCAATTTTAGTATAATTTTGACACAAAAATCACCTACACTCTTGATGGACAGTTCCAAATTCAAAGCAGGACCAATCCATTTAGAAAAAAAATCAGCAATTTGTAAGGGTTAAAGACATATTCCTTTTATATTTATTTGTATTGCAAGTCACAAACACTTCTAGTTATATAAGAAAGAAATTCAAAGTAAACACAAATACCCTAAAACATACTCATGAAAATTGCCTTGTCAATTAGCAATATAATTATGTCAGCACACAAAACCCATAAAAAAACACGCAAAACTCTTTATTTACAGTGTGTTACGAATGGTATGATATTGCATGACATAGAAAAACATCAATGATCATTTCTCACCACAAAATACCAGTTTGAGATTGTTTATAATATTTTTAATCTCTTCTTAAAAGGGAAAAGAAAAAAATATTTTAGAATCGCGAATTTGCCATGCTATAGCGTCAAATTCTACTTGACAGATTTCATGAAATTATTATTAATAACAATTGCTGTTTTCATATAAAAGGATCTGCTACTTATCTAAATAGATAGTAAATACTAAATACCATTTACAGCACACTTGACAGTATATTCATATATAAAATCCTAGAATTATACTTACAATTCAAGACGCGTTAGAACCGGATTCCCTTTTAATACTGGTATCTCTGTCAACTTATTGTTGTTGATTTTTCTGAAAATGACAAGACATTTAGACACCTCATAAATCACGATGAAAAAAATTTCAAATTTAATATTCAGTAAAAATCAGATGAATTTGGAGTAGGTATAATCATATACTATATTTGGTTGGGAAAAAAAAGAAATTTGGTTTGGGGGAAAAACCAAACAGGCGATTTGCTGCACATAAAAAATTATTTGTATAATTTCTAAAAAAAAGGTCAGTAATTCTAAAGATGGGCAAATAATTTAGAAAAAGGACTGTTAATAATGAAATCAATAATACAAAATTTACAATATATCAAGAGTAAAAAGGAGTGTGCCACTTGAAGCGAGTGCGCCCAACAAAAAACAAACAAATTCAGCCGTAGCTATCATAAAACATTTTACGGACATTTAAAGCATATTGCATAAATCACGTTAGCGGGGCAATTTATTAGTCTAACTACGACCAATACTGCCTGTCAAACTGACACATACTTCGCCACGACAGAGGAATTCATTCACCTATAAACTCCTCTATCCGCAAATATTAACACCTTACAACAGCACTGTATTTTTAAACAAATATAACATAAAAAAAAAGACTGCAGATAACAATGTTTTGATCAACCACTTTCATGGACAACTTATAAAATTTTGACTTCTTTTTTCTCTTAAATCTTCCTTGCGCGTATGCAAATTGCAAAGCAGTTTTTCATGTTATGACATTGCTACAATAAAAGAATCTCTATATTCCAGAATTCTTCGAGAAGCATCAAAAACCTACGATAATGTATTATAAGATTACATAATAAAAACATAGGGGCAAAAACAACCTTTTGATTTCCAAAGTAAAAAAAACCCTCAACATTAACTAAAAGATTTACGAGCTGGAAAAAATGAGTTTCTTATATAAAACTTCATCATTTATGTATTCAAATAATAATTTCCTTTAAGTATCCTTGGAAATTTTTTTTTAGACAAAATGATTATGAGTAACAAAAATAAATGTTTGTGTATTTCAATTAATAGTAAATTGTCATCTGTGTGCAGTAACATGTTCACTCCTATTACATTATATAAGGAGTTGACCCGTTACTGCACTAAAGTGACCATATGTATATTGTTGGTGTAAATCTCAGCCATAAAATGATAATATCAAATAAGAAATAAGCATCCTTATAAACGACAGTAACAGTAAACTAAAATTCCCTGGGCCCAAGACAGCTTCCCGATGCTGCATGACTAATGAATGCGATCATAAAAATAATACTGTACGAGCATCAAGAATTTGTTAAGAGACTTTCAATGTTAAAACTACAAATTTTGAAATATTTTACGACCAATCTTAGTCCATTACGATGACAGACAGTAGAGACAATGTTCAATATTTAGCATATTGAATTTTTCAACGATCATTACACTGCCGATGCAATTCACCAAATGCCATTGTTGCCGGGGACTTTACAACTGCCCCTAACAGTGCTATATGTATTTTTCACATGAGATTATGAGACAATGTGTCGCTCAAATCTTTGACTAAATATTTTATAGAGATAAAATTCACTCTAATAGATCACCCTGGAATTCATAACACTTAAATTTACATTTTTTTCTTGTATCTCCATATTTTTTGTTATTTCATTTTTTTATGCAATTATCAATACAGGAATTTCTCACTTTGTTAATTAATCAGCCTTTTGTGTTGTTTTGGGACTTCAAATAAACTTCTATAGACCTCATAATGACTTAATACTTGCATCAACTCCTACCTAATGCCGTTTTTGACGGGATTCAAGAGTTTCTTAAAAATTATTGTTTACATTTCTATAATGATAAATAAATCGACTCAGTAATCGGAATGGTTAAGTGTTTTAAAGTGTTGTTGTTGTTGTTTTTCTCCAGCAGCTGTGTAATACGTTTGTTTTAACTATACTTACATTTCTTTAAGTGACGGAAGGTTGACAAATACACTCTCATTGATGTACGATATCTCATTATTGCTTATATCACTGAAAATATAGAAAATAAATTCATGAATTAAAACATTTATCAATTAAATCCAGTCATTATTTTAAATTAGGCTCTGTAGTCATTATTTTCTTTTTTACTGTCACAACTCATGTAATCATGCATTGAATTATCCAGGCAAACAAAAACATTTTGGTGCAGTGTCAACAAACTAATTATCATCACCTCAACTAATTATCAGTGCCGGACATTTGAACTGTTCCCATTTTCCTCACATCCTCAAAAGTTTTAAAATTTCACTCATTCAGGACCTGGAAACGACAAAATATTACTACAGGAAGAAAACAAATTGCCCTAGAGCTGTAATGATTACTTTAAATTCCGAGCAATTTTTTTTTCGGTATCTTTTCATATGAAGTGAATTCAAAATAGGACAGGATTTCGGGTCTGATTATCACCGCATTTTACCGAGGGAAGAATGCTCACTGTAGCAGACAATAGATTGAGGACCAATCAATCAGCAGCCCAGTATCATATAGTATAGACAATGCATCGGGAATCCATCAATCCACGGCAGCAATTCTAGCTGATCAATTTTTTTTCATGGCGATCATTAATTTCTATCAAGTTTTTTTCTCCCCAATCCTTCAATCAAAGCGGATTCTCATCTATTACCATTGAGGCTATATATAAAAAAATATCTGTTTGCTCATCTCGCATAAAATTCAAGCTCGTTAACAACTGATAGCAAAAAAACAAAACACCCATACAACCAGAATCAATACTGAGACACAATACATGGTACAAAATATAATCATTTTTACACTATCATTTATGCAATTAAACAAATTCTAGCTAAAATGGGAGAGCATCTGAGAAATTCAAAAAACAGGATTTTATGAAAAATTTAAAAATCAAGAGTTACAAAAGTTTCCATGAACACATGTTTAAACAAACTTTTATTTCTATTTTAATAATTTCAATAAGCAAAATAATATATTTTAGAGACATGGATTTATAAATTACAAAAATTCTTTCTGTTCTTTAAATAGACATACTTTCATATCTTTTCATATTTTTTTTTCATTTTCAATTAGAATTAAATATTCTTCAAAATCTTTTTGTGCGAAATTTTCATTAGACTTTGATATATCTGTTTTTCACCCTGGCCTTATAAACATGGCAGCTGCGGCAGCTACGCTCTCTACTTGTGCAGTCCGGGCCATATGGTTCCTCTTTCTCTACTCAACAGTTTATTTACTTTAACAGCGCAAGCACCTTATGTGCCAAACTACAAAATACCTTCTTGAAAACTAGATTCCTAGTCTAGGTATAACTGTCTACACACATTTATTACACACACTCAAGGCAGAACTTCTAACCAATACAATTCATCTAGAAACCATTAAAATATGAATTAAATGTATGAAAGAGAAAAAAAATCGCCTTTCTTTAAACTATATCATTTTTTTCCGTCAATCTTTAACAGATCAAATGTCAGGCCATGTTTACATCAAATGAGGAGAAATAGTATTTCTTCACCATCTTTATGTATTAATGAAAAGCAAATAAAACACTCGGAAAGGGATATGAGAATGTTCCATGCCAAAAATGATCAGACAAATATTTCTGGTCCCGAGGGAGACCTTCGTATTACTTATAGTTGATTTTGGTTGGTATTTAACTATTAACTCTGAAAATACCACAATTCCTCCATGGTATTTTCATGCCAATGAATATCAGACACAGCATTCACCTGTCCCCATGGACACCACATTCTGTCTAACCATACCCTCGGCAGGCCATCCTCCCAACATAAAAACGTTACATGATTTACAGCCATTGTTCGGAGAGACTTAATCAAACTAAAACTAGACTTATCACTGGAGGTGATTAATACCCCCTCCGGCAACTTGGACCTTTTGAAAAAATAAGTAGTCTGAAGAAAAAAATTCAACACAAACTATCAAACTGTGTACAAAGAAATATTTTCAATTAATTGTAATCCCAAACTGGGGTCTCCAAATAAGCTTGCTTTTCACAAAAGTTTGATTACAATATCTCATTCCTAACTCTAGTTATTGTCCGGAAACCATTTTTTCTATTTTAAGGAATGATGAATGAACCTTGAAGGGGGTCCAAATGCAACCAACCAGGTCTTCAATATACTTGCATACCTTGACCCCATTCAGGGGTCCAAATGCAATACCAACCCAGGTCTTCATATAAGCTATTAAGCTTGCTATTGACCTTGACACCAAGTTTTATATAACAATAATTACTCATTCCTAACTCTAGTTATTGTCCGGAAAACCATTTTTTCTATTTTTAGTAACGGTGGCCTTGACCTTGACCCCAGGGGGTCAAATGCAATACCAACCCAGGTCTTCATATAAGCTTGCTATACACCAAGTTTAATAAACAATATCTCATTCCTAACTCTAGTTATTGCTCCGGAAAACACCATTTTTTTTCTATTTTTAGATTATTTAAGTTTACCATTTGCCTTGAATTGAAACCAGGTTGCACTAAATGCAATACCTACCTAGGCTTCCATAACGGCTTGCTGTAACAAACCAAGTTTATAACAATATTACTCATTCCTAAATTGTATGTCCCAAAAAACACAATTTTTCCTATTGTTGTAAGTAGACCTTAGAAACCTTCACAAGTGGGGCCCAAATGCAATATTCCAAGAGTTTTCCAAAAATAAAAGGACGATATTAATTCAATTTATAAGCTACCTTAATTCGAAATAAGTTATCGTCCGAGAAAATGATGAGGGCCGCCATAAATTCCAATTCTGAACATCGACCTTAACAACCGGGCCAAAAGCTGATCCTTATAATAAGCCTAAAATTTGCGTCTTTTTCTATAAGTTAAACTTAAAACTATAAGAAATTGACATGAAAAATAAAAATAGCTTTAATTATGATAACTCAAAAATTGGTTTCAAAATAAAGTTCCAAAATGTCTGAATAATTAAAAGAATTGATGGACGAATGACTTAAAAACAAGTTTAAACTTCAAATTTGCCTTTAACACTCCTTGAATAACATCTTTCCCTTTCCAAGAATTCTCAACCTGAAAAAATGGCAGTAATGACTGTGATCTTTTCTTAAAGATTTTACACTTGAATACCTAAATGTGCTATAATTTTTTAAAAATATTTTTACATGACTTATACTTCCCACAAAAAAAAATCATAAAAAAATCATTACAAGTGGTATTTGAAACAGGGTTAAATACACTTAGATGAGTTTGGGTGGCTTTACAAGTACTTCTTAACAATATTTTCAAATTACCTTATTAGTCAGATCTAATATTTAATAATAGGTCTCTGATCACAGTTTTCTAAGCACAGTAATCATAATCTTAAAAGCCTGTTGGGATAATTAATCATTCATTTTTTTTGTTGGGGGGGGGGGGAAGGGGGTGTTATTTTTCTCTTTTCAAAATAATTCCCCCTAAGTAAACAGGGCCGCAGAGTAGAAACAAAATATTGTCTTCATGAGACAATTAAGCCGTAAGAGAATAATAATAACCAATAAAATGTTTAATATTGCCTCAGCTCTTTTGTTTTCGCAATAAAACACTAATAAGCATCGTATCTCGTCTAAATTCCAATCCACGTTTTTCTTTTCTTAGTTTCAATGCCAAACAGCCTTAAAGATGAGTAGATAATCAATGATTTTTTTTTTATCTTTTACTGCATTTTATATGGTCAGAGACTGATTAAACTGGGATTCAATTCCCACTACTGTCTTCTTAATATTGCTACATAAACCGTTCGCCTATTCCTTTCCATGCCAGTCTGTCAAATACACTTACTTTCCGAGGTATCAGCGACACTTGGAGCAGAAAAAACCTATTAAATACATCAGAATAGCTGAAAAACTGTTTTAAATTACTGTTACATGTTGCTTAATATATTTGAGAACTAGGTTGTGACATTAAATTATACTATTACGGTTCATTTTTAACTTGTTTATAACAGAAATAGTTTCCTGTATTTATTTCAGTTAAAAAATAATAATGAAAGAAAACGTCCCTTGTCATTTATATTTTTAAGTTACATGATTTTAAATTTGTTATTTAACTTTAAGTATTACAGATGAGCAATGCTAAATTTCAAAAATCGTGAATTAGTGAGTCAGATATGTATAGTCATTCATTTAGATGTTTCATACCCCATTTTTCCGGCCTTAATTTATATGGATAATGTCAGAGTAAATGCTAACTTAGAATGCAACACAGCTGGTACCTAGCTTGCCTATAACCGGTACCCTGTAATCAACAGCTATTACCACATCTTATGTTACTCAACTCATGACTATGAATTGTAAATAGACACTTCCACAACTAAAAACCCACAGACTTTTGTGACCATAAATTGTTCGTTAAGTATCACCTGCATAGAAAACACATCTAAAATTTTTGGGGAAAAAAAAACAAAAATTTCAAGAGTTTTAATTCCCATTTAAGAAAAAAAAAAGAAACAGACCGAAAAAGATTTCAACTTTTTTGTCCCCACTTTTTAAAAATTTTTTTTCGGCATTTTAATTTTTTATTTTAAAATCCCTGGGGAAAATATTTTTTTGACTAAGGGGGAGCCTAAAATTCACAAAAATTTTGAAATTCAACCCCTTTAAAAATACCCCGGGGCCAAAAAAGGGTTTTAGTTGAAATAAATTTAAAGTCTAAAATTGACTAGAACTTTTCTTCACTCCAAGTTTTTAAAACTCATTAAATTTTAATTGTAATTGGAAATATAAAACAAGTAACCGAATTTTTATTTACACCCTAATATTTTAAAACCAAATTAAAATTTGTTTTAAAATTTTAAATGTAAAATGATCTGTTTTAATTTCATTCCGCATTTAAAAAAGCAGTGGAATCTTTGCTAAAACTGTTTGAACCATTGAAATATGAAACATGGTTTAAGAAAATTCAGAAATATTGACAAGATTTTTGTCATGCTCTAATTTTTGACCATCTTCTGACAGAAAGTTGTGATGAATATGAAACAAAAATGTTGATTAAACTATGGCAGTTCAAACACATAGAAATTTATACCATTTATACTTATTGCATTAATTATTTCATAAAGCCCCACTCCACAGCACACCTGGACGACAATTAAATCGCCTTCAGCTTAGATAGTAAATAATCCCAGATATATTTTACATCGTAAAATGACAGGTGTGAATATCGACAACTTGTTACACTGTGGCAAATATGGAATCATAAATAAACCCCAACCTGTTTTATTTCACATGTTTATGAGCATACCTAACCGGTACACAACAATCAAAACTTTTAACTTCTGACCCATGATGTAGGCTGGATTTTGTTTGTTTCAACGCCAGTTTTAACACATGTAAATTGGTCATAGCTACGTGGATAATGGTCAACCTAACTGGCTTTCTGGTATTTAGCAATTTCTCCACCAGTAATGAACTACATGTACTAATCACACATGATGGTGAGAGACAAATGACCATAAGACTGGCTGTCCCAGAAAAATGAAAAAAATTTTGCTTTGCCTAGCCAAGGGATTGAACCAGTGACATCTAGGTGTCAAATCCAAAACTCTCCATAATAAGCTGTTGAGCCACCGGACATGAAACAGTGTCAGATGAACATAATGAAGAAAGAGAGAGAGAACTAACAAAGGCCACTGCCGTTTTTTATTTTTTTTTTCCTCATTCTTTATCATTAACTTTGAAAAAACATCAACCATTAAAACGCCTGTTTATACAGTAAAATCTTTCAAAACAATAAAGAACATCAAATATTTGGTAAACCTTTCAGTCCTAAGATCCATTACGTTGGGAATATTTACAGACTTTTTACAAAAGTATAAGTAACTAATTTAAACCAAATACGGACAACAAAAGATTTTTACTCCGCTCAAACACTTCTTTCTGCTAACGAGGTACGTGAAAAATAGGGTCTTAAAGGAAATCCGCACAAATAATTAAAAGAAAAGGGGGAAAATTTGTTATATTTGCTAACGACAAATTCAAAGTGTACTCGGTAAACAAACTCTTTCCGTGTGATAATGTTACAACAATAACTTGAATATTATTGATCAGGATTATGTTTGAAGAAAAGAAACGCTTCTCAAAACAAGAAAGGCTTTTGATTGCCTACCCCAAGGTGTCATAAAGTGGAAAGGACAAGTTAATTAGGATACATATACTCTCTGAATACAGAATCATTTGGCCTTTTCTTTTTTATCTGTGACGTAGGGTTTCCTAAACATATCCTCAGAGAACCAATTAAATTTTATTCTCAACTTTAAAACACATGTGTCGTAGACAATTAAAATTTTAAACAAATTAGGTAAAGGAAAAATTTAAATTTCACATTTAAACAAAACTGGTACTTGTTTTATTAAAGGTATTTATTTCTTTGTCTTCATTAGAATGAGGGACAACCAAAGCTCTATAATTTTCTGTAAAATACCTCCATGAAAGGTAAAGGTCATAGAATGTCTTTTCAGCTTTACTGGTAAATGTTCAACTTCATGCATAATTCAGGTACGAGGGGTACCCGAGTAGAACCAAAGACCTTCTATAAGCTAGCTAGACATGAAAGAATCCAAAAACCATGGGATTCTAACCCACAGCAGTGAGAGGCAAATAATTTGAAGTTAGGGACTTTACCACTGTGCCATAACAGACCCTCTACAACGGCTTATTAATATAGTAAATAGTATTTAAAACACCAATATGTGACAATTTGTGCCTGTTTTTCTTAAAGAAATCATTGGTTGATCAGAAGATTGTAAGAAATAAAGGGATTTATTTATTTGTACGAAAACATACAGGTCTCAGTTTAACCTGATATCAATTTACTGATTCATCTAATGTGTAACAATGACAAGATTTTATATAAATATGCACAACTATTCTCCCGACCTCTACGAATCCAAATGATGCGTGTAATAGTTGGTCCCGACAAAAAATACTAGCGTACCCAATAATGGCTCAATTACCATCTTAAGACTGTGGCGTTCGTAATGATCCCATTTGACTTTAAACAATAGCACACCTGTTATTTTATTATTTCAAGTCTAAATGAACACATTTTAAGATACATGCGCTATTGGGTTTCTCCAATTCAAAACTACTTTAATGCGGAAACGCTGCTTTTGTACAAAATATGCCTATACCCTGTCCTATTTAAACAAGATATTAAAGTTATCCCCGCAATTAACATCTAAATTCAAAATAAACAACTTTGCTTTATCGCAAATTCTAAACTGAATTTTGAACAATGCTGCAGGCTTTCCTTCTAAATGAATGTTTTTTAACATTTTAAGATTTCTTTTGAAGTTGATTTTACACTTAATTCTCGTGAATAAATTTAATCATCTATGTTGCAATAGGTTGTATTCTCCCAAAATTAAAGTTATATAAAAACATTTGAAAATAGGGCAACTTATTCAATATTTCAAGCATCAGTCGGACCTCTTAGAATATATGGCAATAACCTTTCTCGTGAACTTTCGAAAGCCTCTGACAGCTCAAGGTGAACAATGCACTACCCGTTTCAAACCCACTTCACACTCGATCCAAACTCTCGAAAGCTCCCTCAACCGAAGCTATTGTCAACACAAAGTGTTCCTGAGCCACTCCAAATATGGACGGATTTCAATTCTATTCAATAAAATCAATTTCTACTTCGGATTAGCTATAGAAAAGGACTAGCTACACCTGTATAAACTAAATTTTTGAAGCTTTTATATTAAAATTCTGAGCCTATTATACCTTTGATTCTTTTCACACCTTATGCGAATGAGTTTTGCAACAAAAGTGAGAGGTTTCAAAAAATGGTTTTTGAATTTCAAGTTTGTCGATCCGAAGATTTTCTATTGTTTGACCAGATTAATTTGCCAAATCATTTCTTCATACCACATTCACAATCTTTCTTGTGCTATTTTTTTTTTCTTTAATTCATACGTTCTCAATGCTGCTTCCAAAAAGTAAAAAAAAACACAAGTATTAATATTCAATAAAACACATCTTCATGTTCTCCTCCACCATAGATAAACAACTTGGTTTTTGAGGAGCATAATAATCCTAAACACGGCATAAAAAAACGAGGTGAATATTCAATAATAAATGAGTATAAAACCCATACAATCAATCATTCTTACTCTAACTCATTCTACGGGGATCTAATTGATCTGATTTTGAAATAAGATACACTCTTCATACAGTAAATGTTAAACAATACTAACTACATTGGTTGCTGTAATAATTTTTTAAACAGATCTGATAGATGTATTAAAACTTAATTCAATTGAGATATCAACAAAAAGGTTGCCACATCCAATTATCCAGTATGCACCAGAGATTACATAGTGAATTTATTGCAGCACATTCGGCAATAACTAAATTAGGCCAATAAATCTACAACAAAACCATGATTTTAGAGACAAAGGACAGTATGACTAAATTCAACAGAACATTACATATCATGAACAGAAAAGTGGCAAAAGAAAACACATGTACATTTTGGCTGTAGTCATAAGTAAAGTTGGGTTCAGTACTATTTTTTATTATTTCAAATTACTGAAAGTCTAATTTGTTTAATAATATTAGTGATTACAATTGTGATGGTATAAAATTTAAAAAATAATCATGGCAACCTTTGTTTTGAAGTATTTCATCCATAAGGGTTATAAAATGCCTTACATGTTGTATGTTAGCAATTTTGAAAGAAGTAAGGATATTAACAGGTAAATGTAGATTTGTTTATTACTGAGCATATTTTTCTTTTGTCACCATCTTCAAACTGGCTGACAATATCCACTACAGGTTAAAATTTTATCAAAAGCATGTCTGAATACTTACATTTTCTGTAAGTCATGAAGTCCTTTGAAATCCTCGGGATTTAATGATGATATGGCATTTGATTGAATTTCTCTGCAAAAAAGAAAACAAAACATTGATGTATGTATTGTATAGATTGAAAACAATCTAGCTGGATCAGATCTGGATTGGCAGGCCTACGCGACCGGTATATATACACCATTTAAGGCATCTACATGTGTATATCTGACATCATCACTTCATCAGAAGTTAGGCATCCTGACAAGAATGAAGATTCTATACCGCTAGCTGACCATTCAGTATTATATAAACTAATGTGCCTAAATACCTTATACTTAAACACAGGACATCATCTGAGCAAGTCAATTGCACAGACAGAGCTTTTACTGCCACAAAATGGCTATTTCAAAAAGATTATCAAAAGAAAAAAGATATCTTATCAACATTTAGACTAGTTGCTCTATTCATTGTCGACTCAGACTTCTTTTTTGAGGATTGCTCAAGTCAAGGAACGGTTGAGCTGTTTTGTCTTCTACAGTATCATTTTACCAAGTCTAGAAGCACTACATATCTTATAATCGAAATATCAAAAGTTTTGACAAATATATCATGAGTAATACTAATATTTCAACCAGAGAGCACCCTTCACATGAAAAGAAAAAATAATGAGAAATCAATGTGGATTATCAGTCCTTTGATTCCGCAGATAAGGCAAATTGAATGGAAACTTTTTTCCGAACATATGTAAATTTGAATTAATCGGCCAATAGCTCCTGAAACTTCTATCGGAGCCTCGCACCTGGGGCTTGATTGTTCTCCACATGGGCTAATCATACTGATAAGCACTCAGCTGGAGGATTGGCAGCCTGATTATCAAAGCTAATTTTTTATCCTGATTACAGAAAATGTGTTGCAGTTTATGCCTAGGCAGACTCTCAAACTGTTCAGATGTCAAACCTTATTATTCTCTTACCGTTTTTTTCACTTCACTTTTATTAAAATATACATTTTTTTTAATTTGAAATTTCTTTTCTTTTCTTGCATTATCTGACAGATTATTTTGTTTGTTCAAACCAGCAAGTCTTTTCTTGTCAATTTATAAATTTGTTGCCATTTCCATTAAACTTTTTTTCACAATGTCAGAAATTAGGATTTGAATCCACTAGGCTGGTAGGACTACCAGATTGGAATATTCACTAGCCCAAAAAACATTTCACTAGCAAGATTCATTTGTTCAAAACAGTTGTTTATATTGCTTCTGAAAATACAGTAGCCTGGTCGGGCTTGTTACGGTGAAAAGTTGATAACCCGAGGAGAAATTTAGTAGTCAGGGGATATAGGACTACTGTCTAACACTGTTTTCAATTTTGTTTAATGAAAATATAGATATTAAAATAATACATTGTTAACCAGACTCTTTTCAACTGCTTTATTGTAATCTATTGTAGTAATGATAAAAAATCCTCCGAATTAATGTTCATTAAACCATCAGAAATTCAGAAATATAAAGTAGTTTTGTATGTAGGCTGAATATAATAGGTTTTATAACTTCATAATCCCATGACAAAACTGTTGTCTACCAATAACAAAACTGTTGTCAATCAATGACAAAAAATTGTTTAAATACTAATGACGAAACTGTTAAAAATTCTGCCCATTAAAAATTGAAAATTTTGAGAGCAAGTCAGGGCTTTTGCAGAGAAAGAGGAAGGGTCACCTTTCTTAAATTTTCAAGAAAATACCAAAAGTTAAGGTTAAAAGGGAATTCAGCTCATGATTTTTAGCATTTCCCTTAAAAGAAGACGCCTGTAAACAACCCTGTCCTGGAAGAAAATATAGAGTAGATGTGTTCATAAGTCATGGATGCCCCCACATTTCTACATATGGACAGCATGCCAGCAAAGCCAAAGGCTTTAGTCCAGATAACCATCGGGTGCGGTGAAAATTTCAGTGAAATAAGTATTCTTATTATTTAAGTTCTTTGGGCTTCATTACTGTTAAAAGTGATTCGGGGATTTTTTTTGTTTGATAAAAATGTGTTTCTTTTAAGTGTTGCTTTTACATTTTAATTTTTTATTGTTAATATACATTCATTACCTTATAATTTATCATTTAACATACACCAACTGATCACAGACAATATTTAAGATAATAGATATAAGCCATGTATCAGTAAAATTAAGAATTTCATACAGGTTTTTCACAGGCTTTCCAAAAAGTTACGAATAGATTCTTTCTTAAATTACTGAGCATCACATTTTGACATCTCCACAGTTATAATTATATACAAAAGTTAGAACTGTACTTAATTGTTTAAAAATTTTGACTTGGACTTTTGTTTAAAATAGTTGTTTTTTGCCTGAAAACTTTCAGTTGGCAGTATGACCCTGAATTCAGACCAAAAACAAAACAAAATTATAAGAACAAATTTCAGTAAGTGTATTTCAACGCATTTTTCCCAATTTCCAGGTGTATGTGACTATGTCAGTCACTAATTAAGTTATAAAACAAGAGAATTCAAACCTTAATTAATGAAATCTTATATATATCTATCACTATTATTCATTAATTCAAGATCACTTGTAAGAATGGTGTATTAATTAAAACTGAATAACATATATTGAAAAAGCAGGTGCTCTAATTAACTATTTAATTAAGAGATAAAGTAGTAATTAAGAATACAGGTGCCCCAATTAACAACTTTTAAAGTATTTATATACACATCCAAATATTTTATTTACTCTCATTACTTCAGTCATATACATTGCAGTGTATATTGCCACACATATAACAATGACAACTAGGCCTGCCTGTCCCATAAACAAGTTTTTGACAGCACTATTCATTTACACAGTTACAATTACACAAAGAGCTGAACTGACATATTATCATTAAACAATAAAAATATCAATAGTTTGTAGTTTTGATCAAATTATCATCATCAGATTTTACTTTGATGCATACATTTAACGTAAACGTGTCTTAACACACTATTTATTTCATATTTCACTGAAAACGTGTTAACTTATGAACATGCACGTTCAAATTTCAGCAGAAAATCTGTTGTTTATACTTACAAATCTGTAACCCAGGTCGGCAAATCCTTTGGGATTTCTATTAACCCTGTCCTGCTACAATCAACATAATCTCCCAAACACGAACACACGGACGGACATAAGTTATTTATCGCTGAAACAACGTTCATTTCACAACTCCAAACAAAAGCGGCCCATATGAAAAAGTAAATGGCCGCCATGTTTGATTTTTGGGTCAAATCCCGTGTAATAAATTTTTTATGAAATGCGTCCAGTCGCTTGAAAATACACCGTAAAACGTCCTATAGGTAAATGTTCTGACATCTTGAACAATTAATCCATTTGAAAATGCATTGCTATGTCAAAAATTAAACCAGAATACGCGAAATGTCTCTCGGACCTAAAACACAACTTCACACCATTGTATTTGTAACCTCTTTACCACACGTTCAAGTAAGAAACATTCCTATACACAGAAAGCGCTGTTTTGATTGGACAATAGGTGTCACGTGCAGTATACATTGACACATCGGGTATGAAAGGTTGTAAAACAGTTAATATTGAGTAATTCGCTTTACTCAATTTAGTTCAATTAAATCTTAACGTTTAATCAAAGTAGCTTTTAGCAGTTGTATACAAAATAATGTTTATTACAACAGATACATGAAAATAAACTAATATAAAGAGGAATATTATTTTCTATTTTCGATTTGTTATTTTAAATTCGGGCTTTAATAATTAAAATGCATAAGCTCACCGAAAGCCGGCTGATTTGAAAAAAAGTTGTTGTTTTTTTTATAATCAATGCGTTAACTTCAATGTCCATTTATATGGCACCAGGGTCTTCCGATGGCTGAAATAATTTGTTTTTCCTGTAAAGAAAATGTACCGAAATTAAAAAGTTTTTTTCTTAACAATTAGCTATGGTGTTGTTCTTAATTAATTGTTTAAATGCTTACTGTATAGATATGTTATTTAAAACAATTGCAATAACATATTTGGTTCTATTTTGAAATAAAATATAATTTATACCATCGCAAATCATAATCTCGATCTGATTGACTCACTTCATACTCCTATTAGTCGCATACCGTTTTTTTTCTTCAAGTACAAAAGAAAAATGAGCCGCGCCATGACAAAACCAACATAGTGCGTTTGCGACCAGCATGGATCCATACCAGCCTGCGCATCCGCGCAGTCAGATCAGGATCCATGCTGTTCGCTATCAGTTTCTCTACTTGTACTTGGGTTTGTAAGCGAACAGCATGGATCCTGATCAGACTGCGCGGATGCTCAAGCTGGTCTGGATCCATTCTGGTCGCAAACGCACTATGTTGGTTTTGTCGTGACGCGGCTCAAATGTTCATATAAAAAATGAAAATAAATAACATTTTTCAGAACATATCACCTAATACCGTTGTTTATCGGACACAGCATTAAGTCCAAATAATGGACGCTTAAATTAGCAGTAAGCTACTTTCTCTTGCCCGTGCTTGAAAATAAATGTGATAAAAATACAATATTATTAATTGTATGAAAAATAGCTATCAAATTAAAAATAACTTGTTAGCGTTTTCTGCTGCAGCCTTTTTCTTCATGTACAGGGTAAGTTTTGACAGTTTATTTCATGTACCGTCTGTGAATTTTTTCTTTATATTTCATGCACCGTTTTACGATGTATGTATGATTGTATATGTAACCGCCGCAATTGAATGTATGGCGATGAACATGTATATGTTTATATGCTAATAAAATAATTGAATTGAAAATAATTATGATTTAAAGATCCTGTATGTTGTAATTGTGGTTGTATACCACACTTAAGTGAAATTATATATATGTATATAATTATGCTTATAAAACAATTTTCAAACATCGAAGAATATGTAAAATATGTACTGCAAATATTTGTACATATTATATGTAATCATTAAAATATATGCATTCATTTCTTTTTGAAAAATTTGACTTAGACTTTATAGAAAATATTTTTTTACCTCCCTTTATTTACATGAAGTGTTAAATTCGGTAATATCTTTATAAATAATGCTTTTTGGAACTTACAAAATTGATAAATCTTAATTTGAGCATCATATTTATGTTATAAAATTAAAACAATTGTGTTTACAGGATCTTTAACCGTATACTCAAGGCCGTCGTCGATGGTCCGGCCGGTCCGGCCTTGGCCGGACCAATATTTTGGCCAAAAATGAGTAAAAAAACCCACAAAAACACAAAAAAAAACACGCATCGCTGATTAGCAATTTGACACTTAACTGGCCCCTTATGCAATGCGCGGTAATATACAAACATGACACGAAGAAACAACTGGACACAATCAATTGATCAGGTATATGTAGGGGTCCTACGAAGTCAAGTTCGAGTACTTTTTCGGTGTAATGTTTGCACACGACATCCTAGCATTGACAGACAACCTCAGCAAATCTCTTCAACAAGTTTCATTGTCAGCATCCGAGGGCAAGCGGCTAGCAAAGCGGACTCTAGATAGTTTGATAGACATGAGATCAGACGACAGTTCTGATTCTTTATAGATTAAACTTCAAAGTCGGTGTTAACGATCGAAATGTTCCGCGGAAGAGAAAGGCGCCCACACGATTCGAGATGGGACACGGTGTTGGCTACAACCCCGTTACAGTGCAGGACGTGTTCCGGCCTAAGTACTTTGAAGCAATCGATCTTGCCATCGCCAGTGTTAAAGAGAGATTTGACCAACCGGGATATCGCGTTCTTCAAAACGTGGAGAATTTACTTAAAAAGGCCGCACAACCTTTGAAGACCGAGTCCACTAGAGAACTTGGTTTTGTTTGTGATATTTCTGTGGTAACGATATTAACCGAGACATGTTAGATGTGCAGCTTCACATTTTGACAAATCAGAAAATAGTACTGTTACTCTACCCGGCTTTTTGAAATTTGCGTCAGAACAGTCGATGCTAGAACGAGCACTGTTCTCTGAGGTCGTTGTGTTGATAAAGATTTTGTTAGTAATGCCTGCTACAAATGCTACCAGTGAAAGAACATTCTCGGTGTTCAGAAGAATAAAGACATACCTGAGATCAACAATGTCTCAAGTACGTTTGAACAATCTAATGGTGTTAACTGGACAGATCCACTCAACTTACGTGTAATTGCCGATGAGTTCATCACTACCAGAGAACGACGGCGATGTGTTTTTGGAAAATTTACATAAAATGAGACTCTGTGTTGTGTAAGATTATTGTTAACAAAATACAAGTTACTGCTAAACAAAAAGTGGTTATTGTTGACTCGTAATGAACTATTCTTCCATCATGTCATCGATTGTTATTTAAGCTTATACCAATGTGTGATTTATGCTAAACAATAATCCACGTACTGTAATATTTCTTTTATTTGTTTATTTATAATCATCAGATAAAAATGCATTTAAAGAATTATAATAACATCAGTTATTGTTTATTTTTCATTTGCCAAATATCAATTACATGTATTCATCTTTTATGTACACCTGTCCGTCCGTCATGCGAACCTTAAATTTCACCCTTAAAACTTACGACGCACTTAAATCTGTAAAAAATCGTTGACATATTACTATGTACTAGCGACAGGCTGTAAACTGTGCCAAATATACGGGAAAACGCCTCTGACAGCATCCTAGATTAAAAAAAATTCCGGGGGAGCATGCCCCCGTACCCCCCTACATTCTACCCAAAACCAATCAAATTGGCCGCACCAATCACAAAATCGTGACGACGGGCCTGAATTACTTCTGATACAACCAATGTTGGTTGTTTTCGCACGCTTGGTAAATGACTATGCGGTAGGACTTTTACAAGAAGAAAATATGACGGCGCAAGCAGGTAGTAAAACGTACGAACGCTTTTGAAATAATGAAATTAATAATAAATAATTTAATAATAATTATATTAAAATAAAATAAAATGAATAGAAATCCATTGTCTTTCTTATTATTTCTTGGTGATAACGGTATACTTTAAACGGTGGTGATGATGATGGCGTCGTGGTGGTGGTGGTGATGATGATGATGATGATGATGATGATCTTGTTGTTGTTGATGATGATGATGATAATATTTAATTAATTTCGAGGTCTGATCAAGGGAGAGCACCATTTTGTCATTCATATATGTGATACATGTATATAAATATGGAATTTGGCTCATAACTGTTTTTATTTAAATCAAATGCTTAATTTAAGTCATATTTACGGAGCATAAATATACTAACAGTCATTAATACACCTTTCACAGAGATGAATTTTATTGAAATTTACCATAGACATTGTATAAACGAAAAAAAATATTTTTTACGTCTGCATATAATAAAGGGCATGTACATTTTTTTGAAATGTTAAGCGTAATTAAAGATGAAACGAGTGCAGTTACGGTGCGAGGTTAGCCTTAATCTGGTTCGGATATGGCACGTCACGTTCTTATGCTGAATAAATCGCTTTAAGAACCTGAAAAAAAGCAAAAATGGGCCAGGAATAAGCACCTGAGATATATACGACTGCACGCACCATATTTAAAGCTAGCTGTAATCTGCCTATGCATAAATTTCTCATATTTTAATAAAAAAAAGAAAGATGTTGTCGGTTTTGTACTTTCCGCAACAGCCCTTTCTCATAGCAGCGCTTCACATCCGCTTCAGTTCCTGCGCATGCCGCGGCATTGCGGCTCGGTATAGCTTTGTCGCTATAAAGCTGCACAACACCGACATGTGAGCGAATTGTTGCAATAAATGATGACAAAAAAGTTCTTGGTACTTAATTTATATCAAAGGAAAGATTGTGAAAAGTCGGTATGGGTACGGAAAAATTAAAATTAAGTGCCAGACTAGGTGCATGAGATATATATTCAACTTTTCACTGAGCACTATCGTACTGCTATATACATTGTTATCTAATTTGTTATTGTATATATTTCATACACATACAATTATGTACAACAACATGATATAATACAGACAAAGACATATGTAAATTTCTTTCCCGTGTTATCTAATTTATAATAACCTCTTATTTCTCGATGATATTTATTCAAATCACGCTCCTGTCCGTCCCTTGAATATAGCGAGTAGAAACATGGTAATGACTCAAAGAAAGCTCGAACCTATAATTCCCGGTATAAATACTACATGTATACACCGTACGTAACCATACAGCCCCCGATTTATTTAAACGAAATGACATTAAATTGGAAAGAAAGATCAGATTACTTTTATATAAATCGAATGGTATTTAAATAGGGCGAAAGTCTTAGTAATGATGGTCGTATCATATGATATTTTTAAAGGTCCATCAAACCTCAGAAATGCTTTCATTTTATTTCTAAAAAAAGTTTGTTTTTTTTAATACTTTTTGGTATATTGGTATACAGTTTCCCCCATAAACACTCATTTGTCATAAATATGAACTATCTGTGTTCCTTTTAATTTGTTAGCAATTGGTATAATTACATGTATCGTGAATTAGTATTTTTGTATGGAAGTCAAATTGCTACTTCGTTTACATTTTGCTACCTTTAAGCAGGGTCTTTCAAATAGAATCCTATTTGAAAGGCACCGCTTTAAGACACATTACTGCACATTCAGGACTACTTTCCTCAGCTCATGCTCTAAATCCATTATTAGGACATTATTAAACATAAATTGATATGAATTTTCGAGGCATAATATGTGCCTTTAAGATAAATTTCATGATCTGTAACTTCGTGTTATGGTACTCTCGAATAATACCAACTTTCCATAGTCACTGTACTGCCAAGCTGAATTACAATCCCTTTTTAACTACATTATATCAAGCGACATATAAAATTGATGTATTTGAAAATTTAAGGGGGAAAAACATCGGATAAAATGTACTGGGATGTAAAATTTATCACGCAACTTCGATTGAGGTTTCACATTTTTATGCTAAAAAAATAAATAATTATATTCAACAAATGTTTTTGATACCAATTAGTCAGCGAATATGTTGCATTATTTATTCAGCCTTTCGAGAGAGCACACCCGTTTTTTCCTCTTTTCTCATGGCCACCTGCGTATTAGCAAAAAGTTCGTGATTTAATGA